TAATGAAAGACATGCCTTGTACATAGCATTGCAAGGCTAAAGAGAGAGAGAGAGAAAAAATTGAGAAATGTAATACTGACTTGAAATGCAGGTCCATTGTCAGGTCTAATAGGATATACTCCACTTTTCTTTATGCCTGATGCAAGCCATTCTTTGCAGTCATGAGCTATTGGACAATCTGAAGAAAAATACTGAACTAGTTTTTATTGATATTAACGTACATATTGGAGCATTGACAGTTGAGTCATTTGAGAACACAGCACTCTCAGCTCCAGTACAACCTTTTGATCCGTATGCAAATGAGATTGAGAGGAATGCATATATTAAAAGAGAGAGTTTAATCATCTTTGTCTTTAAGTCAGTGAATAATTAGAAGTCAATGACAATGACATTCGTTGTAGCTGTGTCTACACTTATGACTTATATAGAGATCATCTATAAATGATACAGTGACATAGAATGAACAAATAACCAGAGCAGCTGAAATCATATCGTTTATAGGAGAAATAAGCAAACTAGCATATGGCACAAAATGCTATTTAGTTCCCAAAGAAATTTATTCCAGTACTTTCAATATTTCTGCTCAAGTCTTGTCTAGGAGGCATAATTATGCTGTGATCACTATGAATAAAATTATTGTACATGTAAGGCGTGGCCGTATTTTTTATTTGCCGGAATTTGGGAGTGGCTGGTTTGTAATGGCCTCATCTCCAGGTTTGCCTTTGTCACCGTCTCAACTTTGTAAGTTAAAGAAGTAGCTCTGTATTTGATTGTCATTTATTACTATTAGCTATAGTAAGCCTAAATGACGTTTTGGTACTTTTAAGGAAGTGTCAGTTCCCTGACAAGAGGTGGTTTGAATTGGGACTGGCTTTAGGCCTGTCAAAAAGGACACTGGACACCATCAAAGCTAATAATCCACTGGATGTCAATCAATGCTTAATAGAATGTCTCTCTAAGTGGCTAGAAAGAGCTGATGATGTAGTCAATAAAGGAGGAGCTACCTGTGACTCATTGTCAACTGCCATTAGAGCTATGAATGAGATTGCAATAGCTGAGAATTTAGAGAAAGAGAGTGAGTTAATTAGTATACTTGCCGTCCTTATTTTAGTATTGTGTGGATGTAGGATGTCCTGAAGTTCTTGCTGTTAACATTTTAAATAAGCACTTCACTACACTTTCCAAGTCTCTTTCTGATCCTGTCCATGTAGCTAGATTGCTTTATGGAGAGCAAGTGATATCACAGCAGAAGTTAAATGACGTGGAAGATGACAATTTGTCTCTTTCTGATAAACGACAAATCCTGCTATCTGCTGTTAAAGATGCTGTTCAAGCTAACCATGTTTCTCTACAAAAGTTCTTTGTTGTTTTATGTCATTTAACACGTAATGTCAAGCTAGGCGAAAGTATCCTGAGAGACTATAGTAAGTAAAATGCTAATACCTACTTCTTGGTTATAATTTAATTTGTTATAGGGATATACTTTTCCAGCGATGAAGAATTTGTATTCATCAGAGTTGATGATGATGGTATGTTAAATGAATGTATAGAAGTTGTGCTTGTGCATGAACCACTTCCAAACTTGTTTTTAAGTCAAATGTAAAATACTTACATTAGTATTATTATAATAATTATTGCTACAAAAATTAATTTTTATTGATAACCAAAATTTACATGATTATTTTGTTTATTATTATGCATCACAATGATATTAATTCTTATCTTTCTTTCTGTATAGATGATTTGAGTACTGAAGGAAGTGATACAGTTTCACCGACATGTACATTACCTAAGACTAGTATGTTATTGTTTTACATAATTTTGAGGATTTAATTCATTCCTATAATATAGTTGAGGTTGCTATTTGCAGAAGCATGAGGAATGAATTCACCACTCTTAGAAAGTCGTATGCTAAAATGTCTTATAGTGTTTGCAAGGCTATCAGAGATGCAAAAATTGAATTGGAAGAGTTAAAGGTCTTTCTTGGTAGTGTGAGCAATAAACTTAAAGAAAATTTTAAGGAATGCAAGGATGTTTCAAGTGCCTTGCGTGTCGTTGATAATGAATGTTCACTGGTTGATATTGAACTTTTCTGTGCAGTAGTAGAAAATTTTGAAATTAAAGCAGCTGATAAACATATCAAAAAGTACAGTGAAACATCAACGGAATATTTTAAATCCAATCCCATTTCGTGCTACGTAAAAGAAAAGCTTAAAGCTTCTGAAACCTACCCTCTTCTTCAATGTGAGAAAGTAACTTTCGTCTTGGACTGGAGACCTGAAGATACAAAGCTGGATGACATCAAAGATATACTTTCTAAAATATCTGGTAAACTAGTGAAGATAGAAATAATTGACAATTGTGAATCTGTTAGCGTCACTTGCTCCTTTCCGTACCATCTCACTGGAGTCCTCATTACACAGTTGAAGGAAAATTTGGAGTTTTTAAAAACGAATAATTTAAAAAAACTTACCATTGGATACTGGATAATGTGGGAGAGAGAGGAAGAAAAGGAAGATAAAGTAAGTTAGTTTTAATACATTTCTTTGTATTTTTTTCCTTTATAGGAGATTGAAATATTAGAACATGGAGGAAGTTCAGGTAAATTTGTATGGTCATAAAACACTCTCAAAACGAAGGATAGTGTTATATACTGCAATTTGGTAGTATCATGATTATCAAAAAAACATGCACAATGATAATTTTCAACAGTAATGTGTAGATTCAATTACTTGTATCTTATTTTTGTAGACAGTAAGAAAGAAATGGAAGCAATGCAAAAGAAGATGCGATTATTAAGTAATCAGCTTCTTGATAAAGAAACTGAAACGGAAAGATTGGAAAAGATCATTATCTGTAAGAATGAAGAATTTGCAATAATTATTTACTGTATACACTTCCATTATAGTATTAAAGTCCAAAATTCAAGAACGAGATCAGCAGCTTGAAGCACTACAGCAACAAGTAAACGAAAGAGAGAAGCAGACCAGAGAACGAGAACATGAACTTGAAAAACTGCTTCGAGAAAAGAAAATTGAGTTAGAGCAGCAAAATCAAGAAAAAGAGGAGCAAACTCAACAGATTAAGCAGGCCAGAGGACGAGAACACGTACTTGAACAACTGCTTCGACAAAAGGAGACGGAGTTAGAGCAACAAGATGAAGAAAAAGAGAAGCAAACTCAGCAGATTAAGCAGGCCAGAGAACGAGAACATGAACTTGAACAAATGCTCCGAGAAAAGAAGACGGAGTTAGACCAACAGGATCAAGAAAAAGAGAAGCAAATTCAACAGATCATTAAGCAGGCCAGAGAACGAGAACATGAGCTTGAACAAATGCTCCGAGGAAAGAATGTTGAGTTAGATCGACTAGGACAAGAAAAAGAGAGGCAACTGCAGCAGTGCATTGAAAAAGAGATGCAGGCTAGGGAGGATCTTCAACAAAAGCTTAAAAAAACAAAACAACAGCTTGAGGAAAGACAGAAAGAATTCCAGGAAAAAGATGATTCCTGGGTAGTGAATAGAGGAGATATTATAATGACAGAAGTAGTACTTGGTACAGGATCGTGGGCAGAGGTCAGATTAGCTTTATTTTATGGTCTGCAGGTTGCTGCAAAGTTTCTTCATGAGTTAATAATTGCTCCTTATACTATTGGGGTATTTTCTCGTCAAATGAATATTGCTTCTAAAATACGTCATCCTAACCTCCTCCAGTTCATAGGAGCCACTACAGAGGGTAATCCAATCATCCTGACAGAGCTAATGCCGACCAGCCTAAGAAAGGAAATAGAGACTGGAGGACTGGCCTATCACACTAAACAAAGTATCATTTTAGATGTAGCTTGTGCCCTCAATTACCTTCATCTCTTTGAACCTCATCCTATACTACATAGAGGCATCAGCAGTGCCAATGTACTCCTTCAGCCAATGGGAGGAGGAGTATGGAGGGCTAAGGTATCCATTGGGGTGACAGTTAGTTTTCAGCATCTTAGGAGTTCAACTGATCCTACTGGTAATCCTGTCTACTTGGCACCTGAAGCACTCAAACAAGAGGAACATTCTCCTGCAATGGATGTCTTCAGTTATGGTGTCCTCCTTATAGAGATGGTTGTTAGTGAGTTTCCGGTAAAAGAAAAGAGAGGATCTCACATTGACACAATCAAGAGCCCAGCATTGAAGAGTCTCATTGAACGCTGTCTGATGGAAGACTACAGACAGCGTCCAACAATGAAGGACATTATAAAAGAAATACATGAAAGCATAAGTTTAGTAGAGTAAACAATTATTTATATTTTTTATTTTGTTACGTATATATATACATGTATACTTTTATGATCATGTCATTAATTTATTTTGTCAATATTAAGGCTAACCCAACTAAAAAATATTATGCCAACCATGAATTATTGAAATAAAATAAAACGTCATATTATATATGCATATCTCAAAGGCATTGATCATGCACATTAATATATAGCGTTATGTACGTGTGACATGATATAATAAATAATTATCATCATAATTCATTTTCCTTTTTTATCACTATTTGAGTCAAGCATAACATTGCTCAGCTCCTTCATTGAGACGGTCGCTGAGCCACGATTAGCAGGACCCACTTGTGAAGGGTCTGGCTTCCATCCTATGAAATACAATAACTGAAATGTTGCTGGTACACTTCCATCTTCATTGCCATAATCTTCTACAAGAACATTCAAAACTCGCCAATAATAAATTATCTTACTCTTGTATATTTCAGCTGCTCTTTTGAGTGTTGTTCTTCTGATATAGTTTGGCCTGTGTTTGACGGCATTGTTCTCCCCCATACCTACAATACATACAGTTCAATACTGACTGAGTGTACAAGTTCATGATAAACAATACCTTTAAGGTCATGCATAAGTTCATTGATACCAGGATAATTGACTACTATTTCATCAACATCCTATCAGTAGAAAAAGTAATAAAATTACAATAATTATTTTACTCATATTATTTTACAGATATTTTAACAATACACTTACCAAAGTGGTCATTACAAATCCTGATCTTGTTAATACGCCACCTATATCACTTAATTCTACAAATGGCGAGACATGAGGTGAGAGTCCCTGCAGATAATGACCAGTACATTACATGACAGTATCTATAGGGCTTACTCCTTCATTCTCTTCTTGTGCAATTTGTAATGAGCACCTCAACTCAAAGAGTGTGTCACCAGAAAACATTGCACCAATCAGGCAGCCATCAGGCTTTAAGACTCTCTGTATCTATTAAAGACATATACAGTAACAGTGTTAGAGTGATACTTCATTGTACAAAACACAATGACATACTTCAGTGAAAGCCCTGGGTAAGTCATTGACCCAGTGCAAACTGCAGCTGCTAGTTACCAGCTCAAACTGATTGTCCTTAAATGGTAAAAATTCTTCATCTGCCACTACACGATAAGTAGGCACATCAGGAGGAGCAGAACTTTGTGACTATTGGTACAAAAATTGGCAAAAATAATAATTGGCAAATTTTATATTAAAAATTTTACATACTGTTGGAGCACAATCAAATTGCGGATTTTATAGAATAAAGTAAATAATAATTATAAATAAATTATACTAGTATATACTACATAATACTATTCATAATGGACTTACTAGTGGTCCATCTGAATAGTCACACTGTACTAGAGTCTTAATGATATCACTGTCCATATGTCTGGCAATGTGACCTCTACCACATCCAACATCTAATGCTGAGGGAAACTGTCTTTGCATAAAGAGAGAGGAGAAGGGAATAATGGAATGTCAAAATGATATGTAGTGGGTTTAGCAACTTGCTACACATGTATATGCATGGAGAAAAACCTATAAAACTGAAGAATTCTTTATTTGTCATTTTTGGAAAAATTTGGCCTAAGTACTAAATTTTCGCCCAATTTTTTAGTAACTTTAAAATTTGTAACAAAATTCAATTTTGATTATAATAAAATCAAACTTGCAACACAACATAAAAACATGTATTATGTATCAGAAAAAAATTATTAAAATGAAGAATTCTCTCCTTGTAATTTTTGGCAAAACTTGGCTAAAGTTCCTGTACTATATTATAGTACAGGAATTTTTGCTCAATTTTAACGTATTTTTCAACAAAATATTTAAAAACAAAAATTTGATGCCACAGCTATACAGTATAATTATCATTGTGCATATTGCTATGCTCTTGTCCCTAATCCACTAACCTAGCAACATCACAAGCTCTATCAACAACTATAGCAGCTACAGCATCTTTAAGATAATCATAGAGTCCAGGATCAGGCAACGATGCTGCCCTGTTCCTCTGTATCCTCTTAGCATTACGATCAAATATATTCACAGTACCACCAGAAGACGGTAATGAAGAGAACCAACGTCCTTGTAATAGAGTAACTTGTGACAGAACGACTTGTGACCTCAATGTACCTAATCTCCCCATTACTGTTAGAGACACCATCTTACCTCATTAATATTCATGAATAATAATTAAATTTATAGGCGTGGCTTTCATTGATTGTGCATCACCATAGCAACCGGCCTCGAAACAAAATGGCGAGCATTATGGAAGAGACCCTTACTATTACTCTTGGAGGATGCAGGAATTTAGTGAGCGAATTTTTGTTGTGCAATAAAATTATTTGTTTTCCAGCGTTCTACTCGCGGGGAAGTGTTCACTATATTTGGCCAAGTGTCTCTTGGTAAGACAGTATTAGGAGAGTCATCACGACAAGAATACAAATCAGCTACTAGTGGAGGGAAGGAGGAGGAGGGGAAGAAAGGGAAGGGAGGAAAGGGAGTAGAGTCAGGAGGAGGAGGAGGAGTGACAAGTGGTGGGTCTAGTGGAGGGACAGGAGGAGAAGAGGAGAACGAGGGGATTGGTCAGTCTCTTAATTTAGAAGTGAAGCACACCATTAAAGTAAATGATCCACAATCACTAGATGAACTTGTACGGAACCCTCTCCTAGGTAATGTACATACATTACATGTCTTTATTAGCTACAATTAATTCTATTATTAAAATTTTTATTATCTATTATTATTATTATTATTATTATTATTATTATTATTAGTAAGTGTATATGAAGTGCTTCCAAAGGATAAAAGAGCTAAGGAAGAGAAGACTCAAATGCTGGGCATAGCTCACCTTGACCTCCTACCAATCATTCAAGGTACAACTATAATGCTGTGTACATGTATGTTTTGCCCTAATTTCTCTTCATTTCTTTTGTCATGGCTAACATACCATAAGTATACCCTACACTTTCTCTTTCTATTCTCCTCCACTCTCTCTTTCTTTCTCTCTTTCTCATTTCTTTTTCTATTAAAGGTCAATGTCATATGGAGCAGACACTGTATCTCCAGCCACTCAGTGCTACCTCACCAGTGACAGAGAATTTGCCTGAAGTTGATGTTGTAGTTAATCTTGGTAAAGGAGTAGTCTTTTTATCTGATGATATCTCTAATAGGTATAGTACTACAGTATAATTAATTGTTGTGCATCAAAATTTTATACCAACAATAATTTACATGTACACTTACACTGTACATGTACATGCATGCATGTATGCATTTAATGAAAATTTTAAATGTACATGTACATATACATGTAGTTCTATAGTAGCTTAATTTAATCATTCATCACTTTATTATTATTATTGCATTAAATGTATTTCTAGTAATATAATGTCTTTGAGAGTCAAAGGAGTATATTCATTGCCTGAAGGATGGTCTCCAAGTCCTTTGGTATCATTCACTATAGCTACACCTAAACCTAATCCTGGAGTACGTTGTACCCTTTTTTGTATAATTATGCATAAGTGATATAATGAATCCTCTTTTCACATATTATGCATGTGTAACTGTACAATAATGTTTTAAAAATAAATCATAATACTTAAACCATGCATCATACATGATGTGCATGTACATGTACACATGGCATACATGTACATGTATATTCTCTTTTTTGCTATCATTTCACTCTATTTTCCCTGCCTGCCCTCCTCTCCCTCTCCATAGGATAATTCATTGGTTCCTCTCAGTATGGCTAATGGTGAGATTAAACCTGCTGGTGAAGTTGATTTGGCTCAGTCTATGAGACTCTGGAAGTGGGCAGAGCTCAGTCCAGCTACAGCAGGATTATCATCATTGACTGACCAGTAATATTAATTATATAGCATTGTACAACTCTACATGTACATACATGTACATGTACACATATCCTTCTTATTTTTTGTTACTTTGATCTTATTTGTCTCTCTTTTTTTGTAATATGAATCTCTCTCTCTCTCTTTCTCTAGTGTTATTGAGTCTAATGCTATTGAAGATGAATCAGGTCAAATCTCATCTTACGACGACATTGATTTCAGACGACTAGCAGAGTCCCGTCGTCCAAGAATAGTTTGGAACTCTGAGCTTCGGACATACCTCACTCCGACCCTCAACATAGCCTTGTTGCGTCAACTCTCCCGCTCCCCCATCTGGCCAGTTGAACTAGTACGAATATCCTCCTCATCCAGTGGACGTGGGAAATCAAAGGAGGAGGAGACGACCATATCCCATCATGGAGTGGCTTATCTTGATCTCTCTAGTTTGTTGTATCCAGGAGTCACTCGTGTCTTTGGTGCTTATTATGTTGAGAGTCTCAATGAGATAGAGTTGGGAGAAAGGACTAATGAAGTACACACTAAGAACGTAATGGAATCACTTTATAAAAGTGGTGCTTTTGGTTAGTCATACACAATGAACATACAGTACATGTATAAAATTGTTGTATAATTGTACATGTACATGTACATATACAGTATGTACATTGTAATGTGTGCATGTATATTATTCATCCAATACTGCTGTAGGTAGTGGTAAAAAGTTTGCTGCCAAGAGGCCCAGTACATCAATGAGAGCTTCTGTTGTATCCATCAATTCAGCAGCTGAGACACTAACATCAGGTACTGGATGAGAGAGAGAGAGACTGAAAAAAGAATTATCCTCTTTTTTAGAATCAAAAGTGGATGGTCATGTGTATAAAGATGCTAGAACTTACATGCTTCTTGAGCTAGAGTTATCTAATCCTCTTGTACCCAAGAGACCAGCATCAGTCATTGCAGAGAAGTAAATGCATGTACATACATTATACATGTACACATACATGTATATGTACATGTACATATGCACATGTATACACCTACTAATACTAATAATGATGGTGCTGGTACTATTTTTTGTTTCTAGGATAACAGAGTATATTACTCCTCATCCTCCTCTACCTCGTAAAGTCAGTGGAGTGGAGAAAGCTATCAAAGACTTTCATACTAGTACAACTGATGTGGCTGGACTATTACTAGCAGATTATAGGTACATGTACATGTATTGTTAATAATCTTTTCCTTCTCTTACTTGTACATGTACATTGTACACTAGCTTTATTGGATGTACATGTACAATGTATATGTAATTAAGCTTTTTAAGTTTGTTAATGTACATCCAAAATATTTAGTATTTTCCTCATCATTTGCCTTCTCTCCTATTTCTCTTACAGAGGCCTGTTTGGTAAAATCCTTCAAGAGAAAGGTGAGCTTCCTAATTCAGGAGGCGAAGGATTTGAAGAGAGGAAGCGTCAGTTGCTCTATTCCTTGAACACCTCAGGACACTATCATGCTTACAAGGAGCACATGAAGAGAAGTGTAGTACAAATTGTGAGAGAGAAATTCCTCAATGAAGCCAACACTGAAGACGAAGCTGAAAAGCAAGTTAGTAGATTAATGCACATTATTATTATTATGTGCTTAAAATACTGTGTAGTTTTTAATTTACCTTCTAATGCTTTGTACGCATGTACATATTGGTATACACATACACAATGAATATAATAATAAGTAACTCTTTTCTTTTTTCCCCTTCTTCTCTTCTAGTCATTTCTCTCTCGTCTGTATACATTCCTAGTAGATGAGATGCATGTTGCGTTAGGTAAAGTGTTTTCATTGGAGGACTCAGCTCCTGTTGCTCCTACTATTGTGGACTGTGATATGCTAAGACAATATGCAGCTGAGGCAGAGGTATGGGCTCACAAGCATTAGATACTGACACATCATACTGTGCATGATTAAAGTACATGAACATTTTGGTACATTCTGTACCTGCAATAAAACTGAACAAAAATACATGTACATGTACCACTAGACATGTACATTTAAATTACATGCATGTACTGTACATGTATAATAAGTTTTGTGTATACTTTTAGTCAATGCTAGACCTTGAATTGGCAGAATATTATCACAAAGAGGTAAGATGAAGGACTATTATTATTATCATTGATCACCATTTTTCTATTTCAGTTGTTATCAAGAGAGGAGCACATTGCCCTTCATTGGTATGATTATGGAGTTTTCTTTCTATTAAAGGGAGATCTTGACAACAGTAGACAGTGCCTCAAGAGGGCAGTAGCTCTTGATCAACAGTTCTTACCTGCGTAAGTACATCTACTCATTATTACACGAACTTATACATGTACATGTATTATTATCAAAAATAGCTAGGAGACAATTTTATTACATTTTCTGATTCATACATTAATTATACTTGTTCTTACATGCATACCCATACACATGTATGTATATTGTGTAGCAACTTTGAATTGATTCTGATCAAAATTTGATTTTATAAAAATTCTAAAAATTGCTCAAAAATTGATTATACATGTACTTCACAACATACATGTACATGTACATGTAGTGATAATATTATTTTTTTGCATCTCTTTCCTATTCTCTTTAGTTTGCTGTTATATGGAATGTGTTCCAGTTTGGATGAGTGCTTTCCTGAAGCTGATGAAGTAATGGAACTAGCAACAACCATTGATTCTAGCAACCTTGTAGCATGGACCATGAGAGGTACATTGTACATTGTACATGTACATATACTCAATCACTCAATTATACACATGCACAATATTGTACCTCATTTATGTACTTTCATCTATTAATAACATTAATACATGTATGTACATGTACATACATGTATAATGTGTCATTGTAATTTTTGATGTACATGTACACATATTTACATGTAATAACTTTTGTCTTTTCAATCGAAAATTTACAGTACAGCATCATTTTTTACTCTAGAATACATGTACATGTGTATTTACATATGTACATGTACATGTACATTCATACTGTATGTATGCATGTATTACTTACATGTACATGTATTTAGTTGTTATGTACATGTAAATGGTACATGTAGTTGTGTGACCAATCTAATCACTATAGGCCTTTGCTATGAGTTATCTAATAATACATCATATCGTGACATGTGTTTCCAAGAAGCTCGTAAGCTGGTCTCCAGTGATGCCGATAAGACATACATTACTCCATTGCCTAAGCCTCAGACTCAAGTATCTAAAGAATTAGAGGAACCACCACCACAAGGTCCACTCACTTCACACAGTCTTAGTCAAGGTAAGGGACATTAATAAGGAATGTAATCATACATGTACTGTACATCATGTAGAACTACCCTATGAAAAATAACATGGAGGTGATGTCATGTTTATTTTCATAAAATTTTACATGACATTTTCCACAATGAAATTGCTACAGTCATGTTTCATGTTTCGTGTATCATTAGGAAATGAGGAACTTTGTATAATACTCATGTTTCAGTCCTAAACATGAGTAAACATGTTTCATGTACACGTGCATCAATTCATGTCAGATTTTAGTCCTAATTAAACATGAGTAAACGAGTTTTAATTTATATATTTATGCAACCTACATGTACATGTTTCTGACAAGTTTTAGACATGTTTTGTGAAAGTATGAAGCAATTTGGTTTTATGCATGTTTTATGTGCATGTTTCCATGATTAAAATAAGACATGTAACTGTAACTGTAGCATGCATATTTCGTCATTTAACATGAGGAACCATAATACATTGTACATGTACATATACATGTACTCTAGATGCATAATGTAGATAAAAAGACTTTTACATGTAATAATGTACATGTACATGTACATGTATATAGCATTATGTGTTGACTGTTATGTTACTTTTTGCTAATACACAGCTGATATTGATCAACCTGGAGCTGATGCTACTGGAGAGACAACAGAACCAAATGATCAAACAGCAGCTGGTAATGGAGGAGGAGGAGGAGGAGGGGGTGAACCCAATGAAGGAGAACCAGAGAATACACCAACAGGCCCACCACCCACACAACTAATTAAAGATGAAGTGTCAAGATCTATGCAAGAGATTGGACAAACAGTCACCAGGAAACGACACAGCAGCCCCTTTGTACAGACTGCTTCCTATCTACTTGATGTACATGCTGCTAAAGTAAGGGAGTATCATCTTCATAATTATACAAGTATACATGTACTTGATGTTATTATTGTCTGTTGTTGTTGTTAATACTATTAGTATTATTATCATTATTATTGCCAAATTTGCCATTATTATTATTGGGATGATAAGTGAAGAAAGAGGAAGATTTACACTTTAATATTTTCTATTTTCTTTCTCTCTAGTATGCTGAGATGTGTTTGGCTCATGAGAATGTGCTCCAGTCCCAGGTCAGTAATAACAAGGTCCCATCCTCCACTGACAGTGGTACACCAACTTCTCCTTACTCCAGTGGCAGTGTTGGCTATCACACAGCAGTTGCTAGACTCCATTTATTAAGAAAACAATACAAAGAGGCTAAGGAGACATTGTCATGGGCTGTCAAGGAAGATGTACTGGTAAGTGTGATTTTATCTTGTTGATATTATCAAGAGTAGATCTACTCTTGATTTTATATTATACATGTACATGTACTGTATAGTGTGTTGTACACAGTATAAGTGCAGCTCTAGCATAAGAATAATGATGAGTGCATGGTCTATAGTTATAAGGAAGATTATAGTACATGTATTTAAAATTTTTTTTCTATCTTCTCCTTCTCACAGAATGCTAATCTCTTAGCATTGTTAGGTGATTGTAATTATTATTTGGAAGATGTTGCTAAAGCTAAGGATTGCTATGAGAAGGTAGTGGAGTATGTGACGCCACCAGGCCACATCATCGCTGTATTGCTCAGACTAGCTGACTTGTATATACAGTGCTATGAGGTACAGTATGTATAAATGCAATATACATATACACAGGATTTCCAAAAGGATTTCAGCATAATGCTCACCACCTTGCCAGTACATGAAACATCATTTTACAGTACAGTTAGGAGAAAATTTTTGATTTTTATAATTTAAAAATGAATCTTTATGAATTTTTAAGTTGCTCAAAAATCTGGTCGAAGTCGCTGATATTTTTAAAAATTCTTATATGCCCTCACTGTGTGTTGTATAGAAAGTTTGAACAAATTCTGATAAAATTTGGATTTTTTTTACAAATTGTTAAAGTTGCTCAAAAATCGGGCCAAAGTCCCTGTACTACATGTACATGTATATAGTACAGCCTGTACAGGGTCTTTGGCCAGTTTTTTTCAAAAATGACTCAGTGAGATTTCTTCATTTTTATACTTTTTCTGATGCATATTAAATGTAGATGTACACGTACTTTTGTTGCTGTATTGTAGCACTAAATGACCTATTATTTTTTGTATTCATTAGCCTGAAAAAGCTAAGCAAACATATCTCAGAGCCTGCCGTAGAGCAGCCTCCAGTGTGACATGGAAAGGAGTAGGAATATCTTGCTACATGGTCAGTACTCAGTAATGCTAATGCATGAATGTCGCCCACTTCTTAATAACTGCTATGATATTATGTGCATACATTGTACATGTACAGTACATAATTTGATATTTTATCTCATAATAGATGAAGGAGTATTCAGAGGCAGAGGATGCATTGTCTGAGGCTAATATGCTCAATAATCTTGACCCTGTGGTCTGGGCCTATCTTGCTCTAGTCTGTTACAATACTGGGAGGAAACAAGAGGCAAACCAAGCTGTCAATTTTGCTATTAAAGTACAATAATTTTTTTTTAAATTACATTCTTTCTCCTCTCTCTCTCTTCCTTTAGACTGGTCTAAAGGATCCTTCTCTAAAACAGCAACTACAGGTCATTACTCAAACCTAGTTGGACATGATACAAGAGCTTATTTTCATTACAGCTATCACTTGTTAATTATTATTATGATTATTATGATTATGCGATGCATCACTTACATGTATAGTCTTACATTTCGACAAACAAATATGTTATTAATGCCAGCCTGAGTGACTCACACTAGTAGAGCTATAAGTATAGAGAAACATCTTTTATATACCCACCAATTCTATTGTAACTCGTAGTTAGAAGTAATTCCAATCACAAGTTTTAGGCATCACAACTCATAACTTTAGTTCATAAATATTTTTTACAACCATTTTGAAAAAATTATCTGATGGAAAAGTCAGAAAATTCTTTTTTGTCTGTAATAGTTTCATCTTTAAACTCGCACTTTTCAATAACTGATCTTCTACTACCAACATTTGACAGCCAATGCTTACTATGGGATAATAATGAACATAGGTTGAGGATTATTACTGGTAAAAATGAGCAAGTTATTTTCTGCAAATTCTATGATTTTGTGAGATTTGTATTTTGAAAAAATTAATGCGCACAAAATATTTATGGTTGACGACTTCATTTCAATCAATTGGCAAATACAAAACTGACAATAATTATAACGCTTACATAATAGCAATGGCTTCCTTATCTCCCTCAATGACACCTACTACTGTCCCTTGAGGTGTATTCTTCACCCAGCCACACACTTTATTTTGCTCACATACCTTCTGTGTACCCTATTAATGACAAATGGCATTATAAAGTTATAAACCAATTCAGTTTAGATGCTCAAGCAAGCAACACAAGCTTACTTACTTTCCTAAAGAAAACTCCTAAATAAAAAACAAAGCTTTATAAACAGGTATCCCACAAATGATTTTAGTTATTACCTTGGACTCTCCCAAACACTTCAAAACTGACTTTTACAAATGACATGTTCAGCTGGTTTAGTGTTTACTATTTTGTATTCTTTATTTATTTTTCTAGTCTAGAGCACCGCCCACCTTCTGGCACCTATTATGGCTTCCACCCACGCTATGATTACAAAGTAGTTTTATGAAAATGAAAACAATAATAATAATAATAAAGACAGTGTTCAATCTTCATTTATCAACGAGTAGATGATATTATATTGCTAACACCTAAGGTGTAACAAATGAATAAAATGATCCAATTCTAAATGCACATACTTTCAAAATCAATTTTAGCAAGAATTCTTTTGGGCTTGATCAATTCCTCTTGTCCTCTTATAAAGACAACACCATCATTGATCTTCCAGCCATTGCTCACTGCAAACTGTTCCAATTCCTTTTCTAGTGATGAAATAGAGTTAGTGACAAGGGTTTCCCACAAAGCATGCTAAATGAGCTAAAGAGCATGCTTCATGAGCTGACAAGGACTAAAATACATGCTTTGGCTTGATTTTTGAGTAACTTTAAAAATTTGTAAAAAATCTACTTTTGATCAGAATCAGCTCAAACTTGCTATCTCAAACTTGCTATGCAACATAAGAACATGTATATGCATCAGAAAAAAATTATAAAAATGAAAATTCTCTCCTAGTCATTTTTGGCGAATTTGGCCAAAGACCCTGTACTATTATAGTACAGGGACTTTTGCTCAATTTTTGAGTAACTTCCAAAATTCATAAAAAATCTAATTTTGATCGGAATCAGCTCAAACTTGCTACGCAACATAAGAACATGTATCTGCATCAGAAAAAAATTATACAAAATGGAAAATTCTCTCCTAGCATTTTCTGAAAATATACCCTGTATGGTATTCTGTCAAATTTTGGAGCAACTTCAAAATCCACTAGACAGATGAACCTACTGCTATTGCATTAACTACTACTTTAAAATAATTCAAACTTACAAGAAACCCTGCATATTTCTTCGAAAAAAAGCCCGGACTTCTATTTCTTAAAATGACATTTGGACCTCCAAAAAATTTTTTTAATAAAATAAAACTTGAGCCAACAGTGCGATTCGAACCGGGGACCTCATGCAAGTAACTTCAGGAAGCTTAAGAAGGTATCTACAAGGTATATCTTACTTGAAAGCTAGATTAGCATATTTATAGTTTCATTTTATTTGTACCTGGCTTTTATTTGAGGATATACTGTAGTACTATTACAATGGTTTTGAATTTTTGATATACTAGTGTCAATCACGTATCTTCATTGACTATTACTATGCTACCTGTTGTACATGTATATCCAAACAAAAATAATACTTAATTGTATATGAACTTGTATTTGCACTTATTGAAATGAATGAAATGCAGTCACAATGTATTTGACCCCATCCCTGTAATAAAGTGATAAAAAAATCATTAACAAACTAACCAGGCATATTTCCTAAGTAAGAACTCAGCTGAGGTACAGGTATAGTTTGATATGTAATATTAACTAATTCAGCAATATCTACATAAAAAAGAATCCAATGTAGCAGAACAGTATATTATACTTACAGTTCTTCACAGCATCCTTAAAACCAACCACTTTACTAATAATTTCACCACACTCTTCTACCAATGACTAAACGATGAAAATTAAATTACAATAATTAAATTGTATACATCTCTCTTTATCTCTCCCTTACCCAGAACTCTGTGAAACTGCATGATTCCAAATGAGAGCATAGCGAATTTATCTTAACAACCTCTTCATTACTTTGCTGTCATAAAAAGAAACAATACCATAATTCGTAATTAATGCTGCACATGCATGAAGGCAAGATATAGTACAGTGACTAAGTTAAACCTAACACTTTACCTGATTTAGTGGAAGGACGGATATGAGTAGAGCAAGATGAATCTTTGGTAGTGCCATTATTGATTTTAGTAACATTTTGCACACTATGTCAACATTAAAATGATTAGGATTGAACTGGTAACTGAAATATAAAAATAAAAAAAAACATTATTCACCAGCATCTTACATTATAGCAGCAATAGATACTAGCATTACTGACTAGCAATTCATTTTAGCAATGCTACAAACAATGATGCTAATACTAATGCTATAACTAAATATTAGGTATAAATCCCTGCATGCACATTATACCCATTCGATAGACATTCAATAATGTTTATAATCTTACAGTTTCATCAAAGAAAGGTTGGCTTCCAAATTATACACTGAAGGATTTTCTACCTGTAAATGAATGGCACACAAATCAATGACAGAAGTTTGAGTCACTAACCTGAAACTGGACGTACATTTCAAGGCATTCAATGTTGTTGGGATTGTAACTGTACACACATAGCGTCATATTCTTCATTGATATTCAACCTTACCGATTTATTCCTGAAAGAATAGGAGTCAATATGGACGTCCATTCTTCTGAACTAGCCGCCATTGTTACCCACGTGTAACCACCAACCACGCCTCTAAAATTAATCATTTAATCTCTAAAATAAATTAATAATTATTGATAAACAACAATGTGTCAACAAAAGCTGACAAAAGAAATAGAATAATTAATGATAGATCCGGATTTCTCTGAAGAACAGTATAGTATAGCTTTGCAGGTGCAGTCTAGAATTATAAATCTATAAAGCTTTCTTTTTGGAGGCTGTGTACCTCTCCATATACTGAAAAAAGAATAACAAAAATGAAAAAAGAAGAAGAGAGAATATTATTTTAAGTTTACTTTGTTATTAATAATTTACTTTGTTATATTCAGGCATTTCATGTAGTTCTCTAGGAGGGAAGAGGTTGCCATCAAGACAAAGTAATGAGATATTTGAATCTCTCAGCACAGTAGGTGGAACACCAACTAGACTAATACAGTTCTCTTCAAGTCTCAGGACTTTGAGGTTCTGACACTGAGACACTGATTCCGGAATGACGCTAATCTGATTCCGATTCAAGTTGATCTCGACGGCACTGATAACCTCAATGCCAACTGGGATAGACGTGATCTGGTTTGATGAGAGGTCAACGAAATTGACCTGGGTCAGTTGACAGAGGAAGAGCGGGAAAGATGTCAGCTTATTTCCAGAGAGATTGACAGTTTTGAGAGCCTTGAAGTTTACAAAACTATCAGGAAACATCGACAAACAGTTGGCAGAAACATTCAATGTCTCTAGCTTCTTTAGCTCAGAGAGTTCACAAGGCAGTGACCCTGTAACAATAAACAATAAAGTGCATTTACTAGGAGTACTATAATAGCTTCTCTACTTATAGTGTATGCCTTAAGAATATAATCCTGCTAACTGAACTCTACTACCTGGTGTTGGTATGCTCTTTTTATGTTACTATCATGTTTATTTGCAAAATGTAAACTCTTTCATTGTGTTGAATGCCTCTGTTTAGTAAGAAATAATTAGTTTACAATACAGCCAAACCTCAAATTATAATACTGGTATACACCAGAATTTCATGTTATGTCCACCATATAAACATGCATACACCATAATTAGCTAATAGACCAGTACATATATGTACAATATGTACACATGAATATGAATTAGAGGTGATCTGGCATGCCACTAGTGTCAGAAATTACGATTAGAATATCTAGTATATGTTTCATGACAAAGTGCACATGCTTACTTAAATTGTTTTTTGATATGTTAAGAGATTTGAGGACCTTAAAGCTGCCAACCCAAGAAGGAATACTAGATAGCTTGTTATCTGATGCATCTAGTGTACGGAGATTAACAGACAATGACTGGGTCTTTTGTGGCAACTAAAAGAATGAATGATTCAATGGAAAGAGTTCAGATACATACCTCACTGAGACCTCTAGACTGTAATACACAGACTCCAGTCTTGCTAGCGTGAGATATATGCTCAGAAACAGATCCACCACTACTGCTACTGTTTCCCATGACTGATAAGTTTCTTGCTTTCAAGTTTCAATGCTTCTGCTTCAATTTTTTTGCTGAATTGACCACTCCTACAAGAACGCCCAAAATAGGCGGGGCATAAACAACAAAAAATAAAATTATTATGAATGGTGTACCATCTCTTGATGACAGTAAAGTCCTAGAGGCTATTTTTAATCCTGAGCATCCAATTGCAGGTCCATTTCTTTGTTAAAAAATTTTAAATCTTCTATTTAGGCCTCCAGTTACCTCCACAGCCAGTGGAAGACCCTGAAGTCAAAAAAGATGATGAAATTCCAAACCTTCAGGAGGTCAAAGCACTAGAAACTGCTGGAGTGAAGCTAGCTGAAGGAGATAAGCTCACAGAAGCACTTGAAGTATTTGACCAACTCATTGCCCTCCATCCTAACTATCCCTCAGCTTACAATAACAGAGCACAAGTGAGATATCTAATACATACATTATTACCGACTGCGTCATAATTTTTGAGTCGTCCAAAGAATCTACAAAATGTAGCACACACAAATCTTGGCCATGATAACACATCCCTTGCAAAATTTGTCCAACGAAAACTGATATTCTAACAAAAAATATTAATTTGATCACTTCAAAAAATTACAACATAATAATGTTGACTATTATTATCATAATTTTCACAATAATTTATTCATAGTTGATTTACACATTGTATTCAAGCATCAATACCGCCAATTAGATAACTTATCTCATTATTTACTCTTGTCTTTTAGGTGTATAGGCTATTAAATCAAGCTGATAAAGCTCTCTCTGATTTAAACACTGCCATACAGCTCAGTGGTGGCCTGGGCAAAGCAGCTGAACAAGCGTACACACAACGAGGCCTTATTCATGTGTTACACAGCAACGAGGATGAAGCATTGCAAGACTTTCAAGTAGGGATCAGTAATAATTATACTGAGTAACACTTTATTATTATCACACTCTGAGATTTGGCCTACATTAGAAATGACAGCTTATATAAGTCTGCCAAATTAAAGTGTTATATTATGATATACATTCTTCTATGCAACTGCAAGTCCAATATGATACTATATTATTTGAATTTTATTCTCTCTACTCTAGAGGGGTGCAGCTCTTGGTAGTCAGTTTGCTAAAAGTCAAGTAGTAAAGATGAATCCTTATTCTAAATTGTGTAATCAAATGCTGACAGAAGCTATCAATAAATTAAATGGACCAAGTACATAAACATGTAACATATTTCATCTTTTACTATATAATGTACCGTATTATGTAATGTTTATATCAAAAATAATAATAACATAAGTATGATAATTCATGCACTTTATAGCTCCCATATCATGTACCATATGGCCCCCCTAGCTACACCTGTATGACTACACATAATATGGTTAGGTAGCCAGTGCAAGCTTTAACTAGGCTCATACACTACAGTATGTTGGCTCTAACAGTAATTACAATAGTTAAATCATAGAGCTAGCGTTTTGAGGTTTTTTAAATCTAAAAAATCTGCTCAAGCTAACACTGCTAGTTGGACACACCCCTCTCTAGATGTACAGTACTCTTGGTCACATACCATATAGTGGGAAATTTTGGAGGGGCTAAAATTTGGCGAATTGCTAAATTTTGGTGATTGGCGAATTTTAATTTGGCAAATTTGTGGCCATGTGCCATTGAGCATGCGTATAATGGCTCCAAATGGTGGATTTTTATTTTGGCGAATGGCTATCAAAACGCCAAATCTAATCCCCTCCAAAATTTCCCCTATACGGTATACATGTTCTTATTGGATATTCTGTTATTCTTGGCATATGAGGTAGAACAAGATTTGGTCATGCAAGTGTTATTGTATAACGGCTTACATGCTCTCATAAACTAACAGTTTTATGTTCAACTTTCGCATCATCCTCTCCTCAAGCACTCCTCAACCAGTCACTATCCCTTTTCCTGCAAGATTTGCCCATAGATATTAGAGAAATATCTATGATTTGCCACAGAAACTGTCATTTTTCATTAATGGGGGGGGGGGGGTAATTATAGTGGAGGGAAAGGAAGGAGTACTCCTTCATTATAGACTCCTAAAATAATACAGAAGTATTGATAATCATCAGCCTGCACAAATGTTCAGGATTGTTGCAGTACACTGCAAGCAGCCTACCATGATAGTGGTGCTGGCACAGCCACATAGAGACTACAAAGTAGTGAGTATTTTTAAATAATATTCTGCTGTGTAAATCACAAATAATGGGTGCATGTCTTAGTAAATAAAGCGTAAGTTATTGATTATCTAGTATGCACAACTCTACCCACACTCCCACAACATTCCTATATACCGGTAAGCAGTTGTGTGCTGAGTGTATACAGTAAATACCAGGAGGAGGCCATGTAAAAATGCCACGTGTATACTAGCAAATTGGCAATTGCTATTTAAAACGATTTGAACAAGGGCTGTGGTGTTGTGCAGGAAAGGGTTATTCTATTATTCATTTCTTAGTCTTCAAGTACTTAAGTAATGGCTGGCAAACCCCTTGTACTTGTCACTGGTGCCTCTGGTAATATTGGAGCTGCTACAGTTAGTGTCCTGGCTGAAAAGTATGCTGATAAAGTAGAGATAAGAGCTGGTGCACGCAATCCAGACAAAATCCCAGCAAGGCCTAATGTCACCGTTGTTAAAGCAGTATTGGGTGACAAGGATCAGCTCAAAGAGCCTCTCAAAGGTGTCGACGTTCTTTATATCGTCACTCCAGGGGCTGAAGACAGAGCCTCATTGACCATTAGGACAGCAGAAGCCGCTAAGGAAGCTGGGGTGAAGTTCATTCTGGTTGTCAGTGTCCCAACTGTGATTCTCCCTGACACCATATTTGGCAAACAGTTAAGTGAAATTGAAGACAAGGTCTCGAAACTTGGAATTCCCTACTCTTTCCTGCGTCTACCCATGTTTGTGGAAAACATCTGGGGAAGCAAAGACACCATTGTCAGTCAATCAGCTTTTTATGCTCCCCAATCTCCCGATAAACCAGCAATTTACATCGCTGTTGAAGATGCTGCTAAAGCTGGTGCAGCAATCCTAGCCAATTACTCTAAACACAATGGAAAGGGATACACCATACAGAGCGACCGTTACGCTAATGCAGAGCTAGCAGCTGCCTTCACTGAAGCATTGGGAAAAGAAGTCAAATTTGTTCAAGTTCCGCCTGAGGCAGCAAAGCAAGCAATGGTGGGGAAGGGCTGGCCTGAATGGCAAGTTGATGGAATACTTGAGCTACTGAAACTGATAGAAGAAGGTGCTCCAGTCCTCACTGCAGGAGATGATGGCCAGGCCCTTAAATCTCTGACCGGAGAAGAGCCAACCTCAATGAAGGCATGGGTCACCAAGAATGCTCCCGGCTTCAAATAAAGAACTTGACTAGACAACTATTACTAACTACAAAACTATATAGATTTTTATTAGCTTTAGATTATTATAATTATTATTATAACATAAATAATTATGATAATAATAATTATGATTATGATTATTAATATAGTTTCATTTACAACCAAAATGTTATCCCATACCAGTAGTACTACATATACATGCATACGTACATGTGTATGTCTTCATGTGTTAACATGTAAACATAATTTAATAACGCCCCCACTATAGTAGTGTAGTGTAGTGTAGTATAAAAGTATAGCATTCTGTTTTGGCTAATACCTCAATCATCCAATAGTACTGAGATTTGAAAGCTCTACTTTCTCAGGCTATATATATGCATGAAATAGTCTACACTGTAGATCTATATGCCTGTCGTAAACTAATGTTTATTATACAGATTATTGTCATGCTTTGATGCATTGAGTACTCAAGTCCTAGAACTAAAACAAACATTCTTGATGCCATAAGTGCTTGCTCTCCTTATCTGTGGGAAATGACAACATAGCTGCTAGGTCGATGAATATTGTGATGAACTGGGGCATAGAGTGGCAATACATCTTGACAAAGCATTTGCTCCTATTGTAACAGAGAATTAGATATGAGAGGTCATTTAATGTGCCATTCAGTCCTTTCTTTTCTTTAGGAGGTTTCTGACTCTCCGACATTTGACAAAATTCATTGTATTTCATACACTATGTCAGGCCTAGTAATTAGATAATAATTATTATCCCATTATTTTTTAGTGTACAGGTTATTAAATCAAATTGATAAAGCTCTCTCTGATTTAAACACTGCCATACAGCTCAGTGGAGCACATGCAAGCGTACACACAATGAGGCCTTATTCGTGTATTACATAGCAATGAGGATGAGCATTGCAAGACTTTATCAAATAATCCTTCTATACTGCACAAGACTTCATTAGATCTAGAGTGCTTTGATATTGGGGCATATAGTGGTGGTACATTTTGACAAAGCATTTGCTCCTTATGTAATATTAATTGTAACAGAGAGAATTGGATAAACAAGAGTAGAGATGAGTTAAGTGTTTTTGCTCACTTTAATGTGCCATGCCGGTCAGTTAACTCCTTTTCTTTTCTCGGGGAAGTTTCTGACTATCCCACATTTGACAAAACTAATGTCTTTCAGCATCAACAGGCCTATAGTATTAGATAATCATCTCATTAATTACTCTTGTCTTATAGGTGTATAGGTTATTAAACCAAGTTGATAAAGCTCTCTCTGAATAAACACTGCCATACAGCTCAGTGGTGAGCAGCTGAACAAAAGTATACACATAATGAGTCCATGTGTTACACAGCAATGAGGAAGATGCATTATAAGACTTTCAAGTAGGGATCAGTAATGATGATCCTTCAATACTGAGTAACACTTCATTGCTATCATACTCTGAGAGTTGGCCTACATTAGAAATGACAGCTTTTTAATATTGGCAATTTCACTCACAATCATCAATCATCAAAATAAAGGTCTGCCAAATTGAAGTGTTGTATACCGTCCTTCTAGTTGTAATTAATGATACTACATATTATTTAAATTTTATTCTCTCTTCTCTAGAGAGGTGCAGCTCTTGGTAATCAGTTTGCGTAGTGAAGATGAATCCTTATTCTAATCAAATGCTATTAGTAAATTTAAATGGGCCAAGTACATAAACCTGTAACATATTTCATCTTCTACTAATGCATCATGATCTAAAATAATACCATACATATACAATAATACATGTACTTTATATCTCCCGCATATCATATAAGCTTACCATATGGCCCTCCCAAACCTGTATGCCTTACACATATCCTTACATTAGACTGGCTGGTTAGATGGCTAGTGTAATCTATGTAAACCACAAAAATTGTAACTAGACTCATACATGCAGTATGTTGGATAACTTGGATCTAACATTAATGACAGTAGTTAGATCTACAGCGCTAGCTAGAGTTATTAAATTTAACAAACTTGCCTGAACTTCAATCAAGCTAACACTAATGATGCATATCCATCAACACACTCCTCTCTACAACTACAGTCACTTGGCTATGTGTAGTTATTGTTTATCATGGGCTCCGTTATTTTTTCTTGGCATATATATGAGCTAGAACAGCACTTTTGCAATTCAAATTTTGCATTCTTATACATGCTCTCTTGCTCTCATAAATTAACAATTTTATGTTCAACTTCATCATAATCCTCTCTTCCATTAGTGAACTCCTTTATACCTCAACTAATCACTATCCCTGTTCAAAACATTAAAGACAGAAGCTTTCTTTGTGCCACTAAGAAGAGCATATATTGCCGATGCTGCATGTGCAAGCAAGCAAGGAACAGCTGTTTACATAAATTTGAAGATAGTCAAAAAGTAAATTGTAGGCGAGGATTGTAGGCCTAAACAACATTCCTTAACTGATTGTTTCAACAACTTTTAAATGCATAGCTGACTGTGACCATACGTGTACAATATCTAGATCTACCTCGAGATCTACAGTACTAGCATATATAGTATCTATTCTATGGCACGATTCTATCTATGCTACGTGTATAAACATTATTAATTAGATCAGTTATTAATTTGGGCTGAAGGGCAGGGCAAAATATCAAAAACTGACAAAAAGATCAAGAAGACGTAGACTGACTAGACTCACGTAGACTTCTTCACTTATAATGGCTGGCAAACCCGTTGTACTAGTCGCTGGTGCCTCTGGTAATATTGGAGCTGCTACAGTTAGTGTCCTGGCTGAAAAGTATGCTGATAAAGTAGAGATAAGAGCTGGTGCACGCAATCCAGACAAAATCCCAGCAAGGCCTAATGTCACCGTTGTTAAAGCAGTAATGGGTGACAAGGATCAGCTCAAAGAACCTCTCAAAGGTGTAGATGTTCTTTATATTGTCACTCCAGGGGCTGAAGACAGAGCCCCATTGACCATTAGGACAGCAGAAGCCGCTAAGGAAGCTGGGGTGAAGTTCATTCTGGTTGTCAGTGCCCCAACTGTGATTCTCCCTGATACTGTATTTGGCAAACAGTTAAGTGAAATTGAAGACAAGGTCTCAAAGCTTGGAATTCCCTACTCTTTCCTACGTCTACCTATATTCATCGACAACATCTGGGGAAGCAAAGACACGATTGTGAGTCAATCAGCTTTTTATGCTCCCCAATCTCCCGATAAACCAGCAATTTACATTGCTGTTGAAGATGCTGCTAAGGCTGGTGCAGCAATCCTAACCGATTACTCCAAACACAATGGAAAGGGATATACCATACAGAGCGACCGTTACACTAATGCAGAGTTTGCAGCTGCCTTTACTGAAGCATTGGGAAAAGAAGTCAAGTTTATTCAAGTTCCACCTGAGGCAGCAAAACAAGCAATGGTGGGCAAGGGCTGGCCTGAATGGCAAGTTGATGGATTTTTTGAGCTACTGAAAGTGATTGAAGAAGGTGCTCCAGTCCTCACAGCAGGAGATGATGGCCAGGCCCTTAAATCTCTGACAGGAGAAGAGCCAACCTCAATGAAGGCATGGGTCACCAAGAATGCTCCTGGCTTCAAATAAATAACTAGACTAGACAATTTTTATTAGCTAGAAAGTTATGAGTTTTATTAGCTTGTTGCTTTAGATTATTTCATTTACAACCAAAATTTTATTTAAGATATACAATATAGAGCACTGTACACAGCACACACCAGAAATCTAACAGTGAATATACAATCACTGATTTACTAGGTGTACATAGTATATACACTTGTCTTCATGTGCCGTGGTTGTTACAATCAAACTCCATTGACTGTATGTATGACAGTGACTACCACAACACCCAACACATGCAACAGTTTAAAATTTCAGGTATTTCTCTCAATAAAATTCTGTTGGGTTTTAAGTATTGAAACTTGAAAGTTCTAATTTCTTGTAAAAACTTTAGGCTATATTATGCATAAACACTGTATATGCAATATTGTACATTAATGTTTTAATATGTAATTGTCATGCTTTGATGTATAGAATACTCCTACAGGCTACAACTATGATCAAACAATCAAAATATCAATGTTAATAGCCCATGGCTATAATCTGATCATCATAATAGACAGTAACAGTGTGCTTTAGTTAGCTAACTGATGCCGTATCTCCCAGCATAGGTGCTTGTCTCTTCTTATCAGTGGGAACAACATAGCTACTAGGTCGATGAATACTGTGATGAACTGGAGCATAGAGTGGCGGTACATCTTGAGAAAGCATTCAGTCCTAGTGTAACAGAGAGAATTAGATAAGAGAGGAGTTATGTGTTTCTTGTTCACTTTAATGTGCCATCTTAGTGAGTTCCTTTTCTTTCCTTCAGGAGGTATGCTCTCCCCCATTTGACCAAACCTCAGGCTGACAAAACTTATTGTGTTTCAGCATCAATACACTATGTCAGGCCTAGTATATTAGATAATTATTATCCCATTATCTTGTAGGTGCATAAGTTATTAAATCAAGTTTATAAAGCTCTCTCTGATTTAAGCCCTGTCATGCAGCTCAGTGGTGGTCTTGGCAAAGCAGCTGAACAAGCATACACACAACGAGGCCTTATGTGTTACACATGCAGCAACGAGGATGAAGCATTACGAGACTTACTAGTAAAATCAAATTTCTATAGACTAGCTAGTGCACAACACTATTAGAGCCTATGGTGCCCTTATTTACACACTTGGCTGATATTCAGTTTTAAATTGATAATAATTATTAATTTTTAATTTCAAAATTCATTAGATCATCAAAGCTATAAAAGTCTGCCAAATGAATGTGTGATTTATTTCTCATCTATGTATGCACAGAGTTTAGACCCTTCCCACCTACAGTAGCTATAGTCTGGCTGCCTACAGTAGCTATAGTCTGGCTGCTGTGTGTATACAGAGTCAACAAAAGTCTGGCTGCCACATGTATACAGAGTCAACATTATGTAGATCTACTCTTGATGCTACGTGTATAAGCTAGATAAAATGGTCTAAGAATTGCTATAAAACCAAGCAAGAGTGAATCAATGCATTTAAGGCTGAAGGCAGGGCTATTCTTAGTACACTACTTAGTACACTATAATGGCTGGCAAACCCGTTGTACTAGTCACTGGTGCCTCTGGTAATATTGGAGCTGCTACAGTTAGTGTCCTGGCTGAAAAGTATGCTGATAAAGTAGAGATAAGAGCTGGTGCACGCAGTCCAGACAAAATCCCAGCAAGGCCTAATGTCACCGTTGTTAAAGCAGTAATGGGTGACAAGGATCAGCTCAAAGAGCCTCTCAAAGGTGTAGATGTTCTTTATATTGTCACTCCAGGGGCTGAAGACAGAGCCCCATTGACTATTAGGACAGCAGAAGCGGCTAAGGAAGCTGGGGTGAAGTTCATTCTGGTTGTCAGTGCTCCAAATGTCAATCTCCCTGACACCATATTTGGCAAACAGATGATTGAAATTGAAGACAAGGTCTCAAAGCTTGGAATTCCCTACTCTTTCCTACGTCTACCCTTGTTTGTGGAAAACATCTGGGGAAGCAAAGACACCATTGTGAGTCAATCAGCTTTTTTTGCTCCCCAATCTCCCGATAAACCAGCAATTTACATTGCTGTTGAAGATGCTGCTAAAGCTGGTGCAGCAATCCTAGCCGATTACTCCAAACACAATGGAAAGAGATACACCATACAGAGCGACCGTTACACTAATGCAGAGTTAGCAGCTGCCTTTACTGAAGCATTGGGAAAAGAAGTCAAGTTTATTCAAGTTCCGCCTGAGGCAGCAAAACAAGGAATGGTAGGCAAGGGCTGGCCTGAATGGCAAGTTGATGGAATACTTGAGGTTATAAAACTGACAGAAGAAGGTACTTCATTCTTCTCCATAGGAGATGCTGGAGTCCTTAAATCTTTGACCGGAGAAGAGCCAACTTCCATGAAGGCATGGGTCACCAAGAATGCTCCCAGTTTCAAATGACCTTGACAGTTAACTCTAGCTAACTTTAAAACTATAGTTTTCATTTATAATAGTCAGTACAATTTTAGCTTCATTTATCTAGAAGAAAAATTTTATCCTAGTTATTTTTCTGAATCACTGAATACTAGATACACATTTTGCATAAAATACATTGTGATTGTGGTGGTTTAGCATTGACTTTTAAACATTTAACAACTCCAATGACACAGTATATGCAATATTGTGCATTAATGTTTACCATTATATGTAAAGATCAGATTGTCAAGCTTTGATGCATACAACTAAAATCATACATTCAAAATGTTAGTGCAACAATATAGCCCCATACATGATGATAGTCATCTGATTAATCACATATACAGACAGTAAGTGACAGTGTTGCTTTAGTTAGCTAACTGATGCCGTATCTCCCAGCGTAGTGCTTGTCTCTTCTTATCAGTAGGAACAACATAGCTGCTAGGTCGATGAATACTGTGATGAACTGGAGCATAGAGTGGTTGAACATCTTGAGAAAGCATTTGCTCCTATTGTAATGTAACAGAGAACATAAGAGATATGTAGAGATGAGTTAAGTGCTTCTCACTTTAATGTGCCATCTCAGTGAGTTCCTTTTCTTTTCTCCAGGAGGTTTTTGACTTTCCCACATTTGACGAAACTCATGATACCTTATATAGAAAAGGAACAAGAACAAGAGCAATAATAATGTACACTAGTCAAGAGAACAATATATTGGGGGAATTAATTTTGTAGCACTTAGTTCAATGAAGAAATGTTAATTAAAAATCTGATTATATTTTGTTTCCTCTTATAATCAGATTTACACATGGTTGCAAAATCACTAACAAAACTGCCATTTTAATTTTTGAAAAAGTTTATCCCAGCATACAAAAACATATTTTAAAACATGCATGCTGTTTAAATGCATATACCTTTGAACAGGATCATTCTTTCTTATCCCTCTAGTATGTGGATGAGTAAATGCTGGCCGAATAACTAGAAAATAAACATGATAACTGGTATGTGTGTGTGTGTGTGTGTGAGTGTGTGTGTGTGTGTGAGTGTGTGTGTGTGTGTGTGTGTGTGTGTGAATGAGACTCACATGACTTGAGTTGACGTTGAGGAGGGATGGAAAGGGCAGGACCTTCTTCTCTTAAAGAGCTATTGACTGTTGAATCTAATGCACCTGATGATGCAGGTCTCCTTATAAGGAGAGAGGTACAGAGGAGGGTGAGACACAATATTAAATTAAGTCATTGCACAGGGTTTCCCACAAAGCATGTTAAGTAAGCAAAAAAGCATGATTCATGAGCTGACAAGCCTTATAATGGCATATGGAGCAACTTTAAATTTATTTCAAAAATCCAATTTTGATCAAAATCAGCTCAAACTTGCTACACAACATAAGAACATGTATATGTATCAAATAAAATTATAAAAATAAAGAATTCTCTCCTAGCCATTTTTGGCAAAATTCAGCCAAAATCCCTGTACTATAGTACAGGGACTTTAGCCAAATTTTTGAGTAACTTTAATAATTCATAAAAAAATTCAAACTTGATCGGAATCAGCTCAAACTTGCTACAAAACATAAGAACATGTATATGCGTCAAATAAAATTATAAAAATAAAGAACTCTCTCATAGTCATTTTCGGCGAAATTCAGCCAAAATCCCTGTACTATAGTACAGGGACTTTGGCCAAATTTTTGAGTTAACTTTTAAAATTCATAAAAAATTCAAACTTGATCGGAATCAGCTCAAACTTGCTACAAAACATAAGAACATGTATATGTGTCAAATAAAATTATAAAAATAAAGAACTCTCTCATAGTCATTTTTGGCAAAATTCAGCCAAAATCCCTGTACTATAGTACAGGGACTTTGGCCAAATTTTTGAGTAGCTTTAAAAATTCATAAAAAATTCAAACTTGATCGGAATCAGCTCAAACTTGCTACAAAACATAAGAACATGTATATGTATCAAATAAAATTATAAAAATAAAGAATTGTCACCTATTTATTTTTGGCAAAATTTGGTCAAAGTCCCTGTACATAGTACAGAGACTTTGGCCTAATTTTCTGAGTGACTTCAAATTTTTAAAAATCCAATGCTGAACAAAATTAGCTAAAACTTTCCATACAGTACATACATGGATGCATTAGAAATAAAATTTATAGCACTATTAAAACCCACTGACAAGAATCTACATGAGCACTATGCAAAATTTAATGGGAAACCCTGAACTATACTATAAAAACAAAGCATAATTGATTAATACGTCAATTATTCTACAATAATACATACACAAGTACCTCAAAACTTTACGAGTAACTGGACGACCTTCCACATAGTTAACCGATACTTCTACAAACTTTCCTGTGGGCGTGGTTACTCTGGTGGGTGTGGTTACTGAGCTAGTTGTCAACGGTTTGACTGGAGTAGGAGTTGGTGATGAAATAAAAGAGTATTCATGGTCCTGTAAACTTGTATCTTTTTCATTATCTTGTCTCTCTTTTTCTTTGTCATTGAGAAGTTTTAAAAAATCTAAATATTACATATATATAATTATGAAAGACAATTCAGTGCTTGCCACTGACCTATAGTGTAGGACTCCAGTTCTTTACGACTGATGTTCCTGACACCCATAGACTCTAACTGCTCCTGAACAAACTTCTGAGCTTCAGCGAAATCCATGAGTTCATTGAGTAGACAAACTAGACTCAACTAGTAGTTGTGTTGTAAATACTTGTAATGTTCCCGCCCTATTTTGCCATAAATGGGTGTGGTCAAACGACCATGCGGATACACGTGGCTTAAATAACTTGAGTCATTCATGATTAAATGGGCAGAAAAATTTAAGCAAGTGCAGAAAGTCATAATAATAATAAGAAACTAGTCATTTGAATAGTGGATAAATGAAAGTGTAAAAAAATAACAAAGTGATGAATAATAATATTATTGAAGACACACCTAAACCTGTATAAAACTATGGGGAGTTACAAGGGTGGCCAATCCTCATCATCTCCTGGCTCTTGAATATGTCCCAAATGATTGAAGAAATGATATAGTGTGGTTTCACTTAAAGCATAAATAAGTACTACTGCCACAACGATGAGACAAGCCAAGATCATGAAGATTATGACAAAGCATGTGCATGTACACAACCATCGCTTGGAAGGTCCTTCCTGTCTATTGTTCTTATTCCTTTTAAGCCGAGCAATCTCATCATCCTTCATTTCTATCTTTTGCTCAAGTTCAAGAACCTCCTCTTCTTTGACCTTTAATTCATTCATGGCATTGACAGCCTTTTCTTCCCATTCATCTGCCTATAAATTAAAAGATAAAAACACTAATATCAAACTTTCCACTGGATAAAAAGGGAATAGCATAAGGACATGACTAAGAAGTACAGCAAATTTCTAATGGCCATTTTTGGGCAGCAAGACCATCATAGACTATTACTGTATATTAGTACAGCGCTATTAGGCGAATTTTAAAATAAAAAAAAAAGCTAATGCTCAAAGCAAATAAATTTCCAATCAAAATCAGCCTAAACTTTTGGCACAGCATAAAAACATATGAACATACATCCTATCAGTAAATGTGTCAATTAGGTATCTGTACCTTTCTCTGGGAATCATCGATGAGATTATTTGTTTCATTATTGAGTTTGTCCCACAAACCCCTCAAATCTTGACACTGTTCTTTGAACTCTTTAGCTGATTCGTATTCATCAGACACTTCAGGTGTAACAAGCTCCTCCAACAACTGCTCTAGACCATCAAGATGTCTGTGTCTTAATTCCTGATCTTTACTGATTTGCTATGAAAAAATGAGTTTGATATCTTAAAATTTTCAAGATTCAATTTAACCGATTACAATTTTACAAAAATAGAGGTACTAAAAATAATACAAATCCAAACTTGAAATATCCACATTTACATGTACAGGGTTCTATCTAGGAATTTTTGTTTGGGGAGGAAGATGGAGAGTTTGGGGGAGAAGCTTCCCCCCCACCCCCCCACTGGATAGAACCCTGATGTATGTAAAAAAAGAGACATGTAAAGCTTACTTTGCACCTTTCAGCTACAGGCCTTGGATTGGCTTCTTGATCATACAAGACTCTTAGTCCTTCCCTTTCATCAGTCAATCTTTTGTTCAGATCTTCACTAACATCAGCTAGTTCATTAAAGGTATCAAATAATCTCTTCCATGGCTCCATTTCCTCAGGGAATGAAGCCAGCCTGCCTGCTAGTGACTCCCAGTGTCTCCGTGACTCAAGAAAAATATTTCGTAGTTCGGCAAGCTCTTGATCCACTTCAACCTCCTCTTCTATTTCATCTTCTCCTTCATTTTCTGCTCCTTCTCTCTCTTCAGGTTCTTCTCCATTCTCTATTCTTTCCTCTTCAAAATTAAGTTCATCTTCTTCCTCCTTCTCCTTTTCTTCTACTTTTCTTTTAACTCTTGGTAAAAATAAATGAGTCTCAAAATTGTCATTCAAACATTTATAGTCTCCATCTTTTTTCTCTACCTCACTTTTCACCCTCTAAAAGTGAAAAGTAAAAATCAAATATATGTATGAATGCATATATAATACATGACACAAGATATTCACAGTATCACATATTTTAATTTTCTAATTTTTGATCATGTTATACAAATCAATGTTAATGGGTTGATTTTTTGCATAAAAAAATTTGGGGACTAAGTTGAAACTTAATACTAGTTTGCTATAATGTACAAATGCCTCACCTCATAACGTCCTATAAGAGAAATAAACTCTGTGAGGAAATTAGGGAAATGACTCAAAGCAGAGAGTTCAGCCTTTGTAAGGACCACCCACTCAGAGAAGTGTTTCAGTAAAGGTTCGTATACTCCCCAGTCCTTTAGTCTTTGATCCATCTCATTGACTCTCCTTGTGTGCCTCTCTTTAGCAGCTGTGTGTCTCTGTCTAATGGAGTCTACTTTCTCAAGTAGCTTTCTTGAAACCTAATAAGAGTAAAATACATGTACATGTACATTATAACGTACACAATGCATATGCATTAAGTAGACTAGCATTTTAATTATTATATGTATATTCTGATACATATACATGGTCTTATGATATGTAGCAACTTTGAACTTTTGCGATAAAAACTGGATTTTAAAATATTTTTATGAATCCTTAAATTTACTCTAAAATCTTACAAAAGTACAAGGTTTTTGACCAAAATCTCATTAAAACCCGATACATGTACTACACATGAACACCTTACTTGTATCCTAGGATCATCTTTGTAACCATCGCAAAACCCCACCAAGTCATTTAGAGCCTTACCAGACTCATCCTTCATTTCGTGCTAAAGTGAGATCTACACGTGAAACACACACTAGCCGGCCCTACCACCTTACCTCTTCTTGTCTCCATTCATTATGAAGTCTGACCAGTAATGGGGAGGGAGGGAGAGGGAGAGAGAGGTGAGTCTCATATGACTCCAGTGTGGTGTGACATGCTCTACTATGCTTCTCAAAGCCAAGTGTGAGGTCTGCCCTTAGTCTCATCATCACCAGCTTATCACTTAACCTCACTGATGCACTGCTCCAACCTGGAGAGAGAAAGGGAGCAAAATAAAGAACACAAATTAACAAAAAATATAAAAGGTGTACATGCAGTCCGTTTTTTTATTTGTACACCATATACCGTACAGAAGGAAATTTTGGAGGGACTAAATTTTGGCGAATTGCTAAATTTTGGTGATTGGCGAATTTTAATTTGGTGAATTTGTGGCCATGTGCCATTAAACAAGTGCATATTGGCCCAAAATGGCAGATTTTTATTTTGGCGAATGGCTATCAAAACACCAAATTCACCAAGTTTAACTACCTCCAAAATTTCCTTCTATACGGCAGCCAGAAAGTTTTGTGGTCAAAAACTTTCGTAGTTTTCATGGTTTGGAATGACACCATGAAATTAGAAACCATGAATTATTTGCAGGTTAATGAGAGGTGTGGGTGCTTTACTGATGATCGACAAAAATAAGAACCACAAATATGATGGAAGCCACCAAACCAAACCATGAAAGTTTTTTTGCCACAAAACTTTCCAGCTATATGGTATACTACACTAGCTTCAGAATTTCCCATAAAGCATGCTAAGTGAGCTACATGTCCATTGTAAAAACATGCTTTAATGTGGAGCAACTCATAGCTTTAAAAATTCATTAAAAAACTAAATTTGATCAATGAAATTTCTCTAAACAACATAAGTACATGTACAGTACATGTATTATGCATCAAAAAATTCTCTAAATACATTGTACCTGTGCTATATACAGTCAAACCTCTCTAAAACGAACCCCCAATTAGCGGACACCTCTCTATAACGTACAGTTGCTCTTGTCCCAGCCATAAGGCCATTGGGTAGTGTATAAAAGAACCTCTGTATAGCGGAACCTCTCTATTCTGTATAATGGACGAGATTTATTGTCCCCACACATCTACACGTGTACAAATTAACCTCCAACGGACGGACACAGCCACGCAACGGACTTTCTAATTAACATGCATCAAGAAAATGGTGGATTTTCTGGTCTGATTAGCATAGGATAACCTCCGATTTAAGGACACCTCCGTATAAAGGACAGTGATGGCTGGCCCATAGGTGTCCGTCTTAGAGAAGTTTGACTGTAGTACATGTACATGTAATTTTTTGAGCCAAGCTGAGCATGCACTATATCGAAACCCCGTGTGAAACCCTCATATTGTATGGTGTACCTTGCATTAAGTTGTTCCTTTCCCTTGATATGTCAGGGTTCTTGGCAAGAGCCTCTTGTATCTCTTTACTCTCTGCAGACTTATCAATGACAGAGACATTATCAGCCTTAGCTTCTTGCTCATCTTGTAATTCCTGTAAGAGTAACAGGAACAATGGTGGGTACCATAAAGTATGCATAATGTATATGTACATTCAATAATGCACTGGAAACAGAGAATAACTTTTCATTGAATTGCTTGTTAATGTATGCTTGTATTTTATCTGTATTAGTCATAAAGACTAACCAGTTGATGGACAAGCAGCATAATCTAGCACTCCTCTCTATTGTCACTGGATATACACTAACACAGTGAGAGAATGAGGAGGAGGAGGAGTGCTTTACAGGAAAACAAAAATTTAAATTTAAACCAAATTTTGAAGGTTCATGAATCATAAAATGAAATGATTATAACTAAAAAATTAGTGGTTAGAATCAGCTTGAACTTCTCTATAATATAGCTTAAGCACAATGATATCTAACAGAACATGGACAAAATAGCCTATAATATTTCAACATAATACAACACTAAGTCAATAACAACATAACATTACATGTAACTACAACACTGCAGTGTCTTATGTGTCCAATCATCAATCCAACACTCACTTCAAGTCTTTTAAGTTTTTCCAGAAGTTCCTCTCCAGTCAGTTCCTCCTCCTCCTCCTCCTCCCCCTCATCGTCTATCTCTTGTGCTATAACATCCAGGAACTCCTGGACAGTCTTTGCCTCCTCAACAGGAAAGACCTGCCAGCTCTGCAGTCTAGTGTCCAGCATCTGTCTCCTTGCTTCAGTGCTGTCACCCAGTGTCTCCACGTGTACTGTTATCTGGTTGGTTCTCTCCGTTATGAAACTACAATCATCAGCAACACAGAGCTCAGAGAGCTGCCTTGTTATGTCACTGAGGACCTGTACAGCAGGTTTGTGCTGATTGATGTTGGCATTCAGTTCCTGGGGACATTATTAAAAATACACATGTATCAATGAATAAGGACACTTCTCTTACATGTACATGTACTGTACATGCACTAACAATAATAACAATAGAGACATTATGTGAACCCAATACTATTGTTGATAAACTATCACTGTCTTCTATTGTACATGTACAATGGTACATCCATACTCTGATTACCTCAGCATTTCTCAAGTTACGTTCAGTGATGATGGCATTGCCCGGTTTGAGTTTATCAGAATTATAAACTCCTTCAGCTTCTTGTACCCAGACTGAGAGCTCCTCTCTGTGTTTGTGAAACTCCTCCCACAAAGGGATTGATAATTCTAACTTCTCGACATAAACCTAAAATAGCAAATAATAAAATAATATTATTATAATTGTTATAATATAAATAATAATGATAATAATTAATAATAATGCTAATAACAATTCTACTATTACATGTACTCACTACTACATGTACATGTACATGTACTACTAAAAAATTATATTTATTCTTACTCTCTCAGATCCTTCCAAGTTCTCAAATCGTTCGGTTACGTTCCTCACTCGTTGGCTGATTCCCTCGTGCTCTGACCTACGACTGTGCTCCAGCATAAACCCCTCTGTTGCCATGACAACCTCAACAAAAGGGCGGTGCTCCTCTATCTCATCAATATAGACCTAATAAGAATTAATAACAAGAGAAAACTCTTTGTAATAATTACACACACACACACACACACAGAGAATATACATGTATACATGTACATGCATTAAGAGTGCTCATAAAATGAAGCTCTCAAGGATACTAAACTGATTTACAATATTAACATTACATTGACACTGGAATAGGATTTGGTTCTATTCTAGTGTAAATTTAAGCAAGTGCTAATATTAGGTCAAATCGCCCACACTTTTGATTAAAAAGTGGCAATACGCTGCTGGCCTAACATCATATTGTAAACCAGCCTTTAGATGAGATGGGAAATGAATAATAAATAGATTTACACTAATTAGTATTACATGTACAGTACATGTGCTTCAATGGTGGTATGGGCTGCCCATTAAACACAGGCCCCCCATCATGACTAGCTGTACCTTGTGTCTATCTATTTCTTCTTTAAGTGCATCAATGACTCCACGAGTAGGAGCCTTATCAGCTGCTGCTTCACAGACTATATCCAGCCACTCCATCTCTTTCTGTGTCATGTCCTCTATCAGACACACTTTACTGTATACTGATGATAACTGCTCTAGTGTCTCGTCCAACAGCTGACATATTGATGCCCAGTGGGTCTGAACGTCATTGAGTCTGAGAGGGAGAAAGGAAGGAAATTAATTTAAAAACATGCAATCAAGTGAAAAGAATATACACGTACATGTACATATGTATAAAAGCAATGCATGAACAATATCCCCATGCTATGTACATACGTGTTACATGTACATCTACAATACTCATTCATGTACCTTGATTCAACGTCTTTAGTTCCGTTAGGTTTCTCCCCATCATCAGGTTTCAATATATCGGCTAATTCAGATATCTCATCCACGGAAGCCATCTTCTCATTAAGAGTCCCGTGAAGTTTCTAAGTATAGAATAATGTCAGCTGGTCAGATGAACTATACGTTACCTTGCATGAGAGCATGTGATCGGAGACTCCTTTCTCTCCGTCAGTTGACGTCACTTCCAGAGAGAAAGTCTTAGCCTCTTCAGTGACCCAGTTAAGGAACTCCCCTACCTGCTTCTCGAAATCAGTCCAATAGCCTTGGAGGCCTTTGATCTGCAACCAGCGCTCATCTAAATAAAATAATAAGTTAAAGTCGTCATATTAAATCCATGGTCCATGATCACTATATGAATGACATATACAACAAGTAGCTAGCTTAATGCTAGCATTATCTTTTCCTCCCGCTTTTGTCAAAATTTAGTGAAATCAAACTTTAAGTTTTAATTTTCATAATTTTGATGGGGGTGATCAATGTAGGATTTAAGGTAAGGTCAATAAAATGAATAGCTTTACAGTACACGTGTGAAGATGTACATGTACATGCTTATATAAGAATTAGAACTAGGAAGTGTAGTATTCTGAATTCTTTGACTCACTTAAAGAATTCACAAACTCCTCCCACTGGTTAAACATCTCTTGAAGACGTTCGTCAAATGCTTCACACGGTATGTAGGTTTTGACAATGAAATGACCTAACTGGTACATCCTGTCAAACGGCTCGGACTGGTTCTCAACTTCAACACAATGATCCTAATTAAATAAAATATGCCTAAATACTACAAGTATAATTAAGTTGTCTGCTAAATAATTACTAATGTACATCATCCTAATTTAATAAATGTAAAATACTTGATGCTACTGGCTGAATAAGTTCTAAGTTACTTACAGCATGCTCGTCAAGAGTTTCTTGAGTGTTTCCTAAAGGTCTCTTAGGTTTCTCAACCAATTCATTATACTCTCGAGTGACCTTCTCAAACATTTTATTAAATACTTCCTCTTTTGTGGCAAAGTCCTGCATGTCCTTCTTTCCTTGTTCACAAAGTTCACTAGCTTCAGCGACCAGGTCAGCTAGTTCTTGGTATCGGTCCTCGAGTCCTTGTACTTGCATATCCAGTCCCTGGCAGGTTCCCTCCTGAGCCACCTCCATGATGCCAGCTGCTTCTAATTTAAGATCCTCGTTGAGTTTCTTGTGTTCCCTGATATCATTACTGAGCTCCTGTTGTACAAGAGACAATGACACATGATTAGCACACAAAGAGAGATTAAATGTGTATGCATCATGAGGCAAATACACAATGAAGAGGTTTTTGATCAAAAATGTGCTCAATTTTACACACATATATACATGTACATGTAAAATGAATAAATTGACAATCAGAACACAGAAGCTAATACACAATGCATGTACATGTACATGTAGCTGATACCTCAAGTATTATTTCTTGTTGCTCCATTCTTTCAAGATCGGCTCCTATTGATCCACAGTCTTTATATGCACCATCCGTCTTGTTCAACCACTCCTCATACTCTCCACACTTTCCACGAAACTTCTCAACCATTGCCAACACTTCCTCTGTGCCTGAGCAATGAGGAGAGATAAAGAATGCATAATAAAACTATTGATGCTATCTTTTGGTAAAAATAATAGGGACAAAGCCTAACTGTGCCTGCTAAATGAAGGTTCAGGTGACAGTAATTATCACATTACAGGTTTACAGCAGAACATGCTTCTACATGTACAAGACCAGGTATAGCTATGATTTACAAGCTATAGCTATGGTTTACAAGCTATAGCTATGGTTTACAAGTTATAGCTATGGTTTACAAGTTATAGCTATGGTTTACAAGCTATAGCTATGGTTTACAAGCTATAGCTATGGTTTACAAGTTATAGCTATAGTTTACAAGTTATGCTCGCTGCTGTTTCACTTACTGTGTGTCACTGTAGAGACAGACTCCTCCATTTTAGCCCAAGCATTGTCAAGCTGAGCCATGAGTGCTTCAACCTTCTTCAGGTTTACTTCAGAGAGCGATCCTTTAGAAGTGGCAGCTATCTGATGGAGTTTAGTCAGTAAGTGTCTTCGAGACTGGAACTCTTCTCTTAGGGACTAGAGGAAAGGAAGAGAGAAGAGGATAAAGTGTCCTCCATTTTTCCAGGAAACCACAAGCATGTAAGGGCTGCCCCTTCCTCATCTTAATTATTATTTGTAAGTATGATAATGATAATAATAATAATAACTGCCCCCTCAATTCTAATAGAAAGTGCATAACTGACTACATTAGATTTCAGTAACTACTGGCCATTACTAGTCGCATACAATATCTCCCACTGATTCATGCACTATCGCTTTATCCTACTGGTCTCATTCAAGCAAGTGAAGCAACCACCCTACTCCTTCTATAGCTACCTCAAGATTCTCTTTATTCTCCAAAAGTCTTTCAAATTCTCCTGGAGGAGCTTCATTAAGAAAACTAAGCCCCAGAGACTCCTCCACCCAATTTAATAACTCATTGGCTGAAGACATAAGACCAGCTGTACTTCCTTCACATAACTCTAAATCAAGAGCTCTATCCTAAAAAGCAAGGGAGAGTGAGAGAGAAAGGAAGATCAACCAGTGCAGTACAGTTAGTGTGAATATTGTATTTACTTGAAGCATCTTCTTCATAGCGTTGAGTCTCCCCTCAGATGTAGCTAGCTGCCTACCAACACTGCAATGACTGGACTCATCATCATCACTAAGAGCTTAAGGGAACAGAATATAAATATACATGTACATTATATATTGTATGTACATTGTAATGATTGTATCAAGATTCTATTCATGCTGATTATGTACTGTACATGCATATTGATCACTAGCTTTATGCATACACCTTTACCTGGTGATGTTTCTCTGAATTCTTCAACCCATTCAGTTGGAATGTGTCTCAGGCCCCACTTCTCTCCTAAACTACGTAACTCGGTAAATTCCTCTGACATTTCTTTCATGAGATTATTAAATTTCTACAAACACACACAACCAACTAATGAGAAGTACAGATAAAATAACAAATGATTATATAGTGGGTTATTTTTTGTGATTCAAGCTTCCGCACAAATAAAAATAAAGAATAAATCATTGCTACCTTTTTTGAATTAATGAAAGAAAATTTAACCCAAAAATCAACTAACTATACAATGATGTACTATATACAGTACACTACCTCTAATTTCATTTTCTGTCTGTTAAGAGTGTCTGGGGTAGCATTGGGAGATATTGCAGTGCAGCATTCATCATAAAGTTCAGTATAAGCAGCGTTGAGTCGCTCGGAGAAAGAGCTTAGTTTTGTCAAGTACTCGTTCAGCTTGTTGGACTCCTCTTCCAACTGACTGTAAAGCTCCTTGCACTGGGTAGAGAGTCCCTCCCAGTTTGAACGTAATTCCTTGAGTTCTCTAACGAGAGGCTCTGAAGGAGTTCCCTTGTCATTGAAATCATGAATGATGTTTTGTAGTGTCGTACACGTTGAACTGACGAGTGATTCTTTCTCAGAAAACTCTTGAGATAAATCCTAACAATTATAACAATACAAAAAGCTAGTAATTTATTAAATCATGATAGCATTGTTGTGAATGAAAAAACAGTCACATTAACTTCATTTCAACACATAGTACAACACCAGTATCTAATGGTACAGCTAGAATACAGCTAACATACATTATTTTCAAAGCATTCATCATGTACAGCACACCTTGCACATACAATATACATGTCATACAGCATAGCACTTTATTTTGGCGATTTTGCTGTAAAATTGTAATTAGAGGTTTTTAATTTGGCGATTCTTGTGTACACGTGCATTACTGAGCATGCGCATTAATGATTGGCAGTTTTAATGATTGGCAGTTTTAATATTGGCGATTCTGCTTGCAAACTGCCAATCACCAAAATAAAACTCCGCCAAATTAAAGCGTTATACGGTATAATGATTACTGATTACTTGTGCTATTCTGAATAAGTCTTGAGGAGTATCATCAAGTGATGCAGCGTCTGTCCTCTCCCTCAGTTCACACAACTGTGGCTCAGTAACAGCAGACCAATCCCAGTACACCTACAAACACACACACACATTACATACATGTACATGTATATGTACATTTGCATACATTATACATATAGTCCGATAAATATAAATACATAATGAATGCAATTTCTTTTCAATGGAGGACGTAACATAAAATTTAACTGGTGAACAGGTTATAAAAAGAACTAAAAATGGAGAATTCTCTATGATACATGGTAATATCATCATGGGGCATAGTCATACTATGAATTACTCCATTTTTTACCTTTGAAAATCTCTCGTATTCCTTCCACCAGTCAAGCAGCAGCAGAAAGTGAGCCATCACTCCTTTACTGCTGGTAACAAGATTAGCAATCTCAGTATTGAGGCCCTGGTGGGTGTGGAGGATCTCCTGGTTGCTAGGCAATCTCAGCGAGGGCCCAAGGGCTTGTTTGTCGATTCCAGCGTAAATCTCTCGATATATAGTGTCTAAATCATAGCCAGCCTGACGAAGGGTATCAAACCTTGACTGGGAAAAACACACCTATCAAATAAAAATGCAAATGCATTACATGCGTATATAATTTATAATAGCAAAATACTAGCAAGAAATACATTACAAAGCTCTATACAACTGACCACAGCTTCTTCAACTTTGTGTTCTATATGAAGGCGGTAGCCAGAGACAGCTCCGAGTTCTTGTATTGATTGCCTCATTGACTGTAGACCTTGTACTAGCTCTAACTGAGCTGTTATCAACTAATGGAGAGAGAGAAGGAGAGAATCAAGTGTATTGACAGTAATTAATCAAAAGTATCCAGAGTAAATTTACTGACTACAAACATGTAAATGTATGTACATGCATGTAGATCTACATGTACATGTACATAAGCGTATATTAAAAAGTGGAAATTGCTTACAGAAGGCACTACCAGTATGTATACATGTACACTGAATAATAAATGAATAGAGCATTACCTGAAATACTGGACTGACTGAGCCACACATCACCTGAAGGTTCTCCCACCTCTTGACCACAGCCAGTATCTCCTTGTTGACATCATGAGAGTGAATGGAGCCACCAGAAGCAGTGATCTCTTTGAACCTGGACTCCACCAATGACTGGACCATACACATGCTCTCATCCAAATCATACAACTTATCCTACCAGTGATGAATAAGGAGAGAACAATTAAGAAGAATAACATGATATGTAACAGGGGATAAGACATAGCCATATTCACATGCACATGTGCCGGCTACATTGTGTGTTGAATACAAAACTAACAACTAAGAGTGGAATAAGAAAACTACATGTCAGGCCTTCATCTAGGATTTTATACAAGGGGGGCAAGGTTAAAAATACTTCAAAAAAGGGGGGGTCACTAATATTTTCTATTGTGCATGCACAATGCGTGTTCACAACACTTATACAATTTACTGCTGTGGTGATGAAATTTTTCATGTTAATAAGTCAATCAAGGGGGGGGGCAAGTGTCCCCTAAGGGGCGGTGAGCACCCCCTTCCGCCCCCCCCTCAATGAAGCCCTGCATGTACATTGTACATGTACACGTGTGTAATAAGAGACTGCAGGTTTCAAATGAAATCTTTAAGCCACAGATACAATCATTAGTTCATTGCATTGTAACACTATGAACTTTAAATACTAGAGTAGAGCATCATTACCTCGTGATCAGTGGTGAGTACTTTAACTTGTTGGAGCAGTTCTTTAGATGACGATTCAAGGAGTCTCTTCAATGGGTACCCATTAATGAACTCAACTTTGACATCCCATAAACCGTCACCTTCCCTCATGTAGTCTCTCATTATCTCCAATTGCTCTCGGAGCCACTCCTCATGCTCCATCCACAAGTTCTCAAGCGAGCCTTTAGTGACGTTCCCTATTAGCGACCAGTCACATTCAAGTTGAGTCATTTCCTCTTCTATGCTTTCTTTCTTGCCAACTTTATCATTGGATCCCAGCTCTTTCTTGACGGCTTGAAGGTGAAGTACTTTCGGTTTAAATGAGTTGATCTCATTTTCCAATTGCTGAGAAAATAAAACAACAGATAAATAAAATAAAAGAATTACATGTGTACATGTACAACAACTATTAACAAGAAATACTGTAGTATATGGCTGAACAAAACGGCTGGTTCACCAATTTTTGGATTTCCTCTTAGACAAGGTCTAGAGCCATGCTAGTGGTACCAATGGAGTCCTCTGGTCAAGATAAGGTCCTCTAAGAAGTCTGGTAAGCATAGGAGCTCGTTTTCCTGGTATAGCAAGGCTGCAAAAGTCGTGGCAGCCATTTTGTTTGGGGGTGAATCCTACTTAGTAACGCTAATGCATTACTAATACACATGCAACAGCTAGTGCCCCTGATTTATTGGCTATCGATGAAAGATGGTGGCAGATATACTGTATATGAGTTAATTTTTGCGGTGGAAAATTTTCTTGAATCGTGCATTTCTAAGATTTCGTGGAATTAATTTTCGCAAATAGCTTGAAGGCTGCACCACGTAGCAATGGAGATGTAGGATTTTGCAAAAAACGCAAAAAATTGCAAAAATATTTCACCACAAAAATAAACCAGTATATATATATATACTGTACTTACTATGAATTTTGGTAGTAACTGTGTGTCACCTTCTGACACTCCCAGCACTTCAATGCCAGCTATCTGCTGCACATGATGAATGAAATCACGTGAGGCTGCATACAACTCATTGTATTCCTAAAAATAAAAATTATCAAATCTACATGGACCACATGTAAATGTATATGTATCTACATGTACTGTATTCTCTCCAATTTTATGTATTATCTACAGGTGTACATGTATACAGTATTACATGTATATGTACCTGCCATTTAATGAGAACATTACTCAGCTCTTGATCCACAGTATTCAGTAGTAGCACTAGGTCCTTCCATCTTTGTGTGGTCCCTCTAACAACAGTATCAAGATATCTATAGGCTGGACTCCCCACTATGACCTTATCAACAATTACATTGCCAATAGTGACCAGTTCAGTCAATGACTGGTATTTCTCATGAAGTGAGTCTCTGTAGGTCTGAGAGGAGAGAGAGAGAGAGAGAGAGAAGATTGGAAAAGAGAAAGGAATCAAGAAAAGGGAAATTAAGGGCATACCGATTACCGTGTGTTACAGTACATGTACATAAGTCTAACGTACAATAGCGTGTATTTTTTATAACGTTAAAGTACATATATTTGTCCATTTAAAAACATAAAACCATGCAAAATTGTGTTTGGCCAGATTTTTGAGCAAATTTTTAAAATTCATTAAAAAAATCCAATTTTGATTGGAATCAACTCAAACTTGCTACGCAACATAAAAACATGCATATGTATCAGGAAAAATTACAAAAAATGGAAATTTTTTTCCATGTGATTTTTGTCAAAATACCCTGTACTATAATAATACAGGGTCTTTGACACAATTTTGAGCAACTTGAAAAGCGACTGACAAGAAGCTCCATGAGCACTATATCAAAACCCTATGGGAAACCCTGGTTACGCTATACATGTAGCTAGGATTGTGTGTCCATGTACATGTATGTACAATGTATGTGTGATTGTACTGTTAGTGTTTTCTTGAATTCTTTGGCCTCATCAAGAGAATGACCATACACCTCACGCTCCTTTACATAGACCTCACTCATCTCTATCCATTCATTGAGAGGCGTGGCTGCACTATCAAGCTCCTCCCACAACTTAACACCTTCTTCCAGCAACTCTCTAGAGGCAGCAACCTTGAAAAGAATAAGATTTATTTAATTATTTTACACACATGTGCATATACAATTTATTAAAAAATAATAATATTTCAAAATTAATTCAATTCAATCCATACAAAATTTACTATTACATGTATATGTACGTGTAATTCTAATATTTACTTTTTCATTGACAATATCAAAAGCTTCTTCAAAATTAGTGAGTGTCTCAGGCAGCCTGCTCTCCTCTTCCTCGCAGCAGCTGACGAGTTCCTCCACTGTCCCTCTCACTGACTCCATAATGCTCTCACCAACGCTCATGTGGTCAGTATCATCAAAATAAGTCTGAGGGAAAAAAACGGAAATTTAATTAATAAAAAAATTACATGTACAATATTAAGATAAGTGCTGCATACAATTTAAATAACAAGATACTGTATACACTGTAAGTGGTTTTTTTAGGGTTGCAAATTTTGCAAATTTCTTCCTGATTCGCAAAAATAAAATTGCGAAAAATCAATTTAATAAAGTACCTGCAAGGCACATGTGGTACATGTAGAATTCACAAAAATTAAAATCCACAAATAGGAATTTTATATTTCGCAAAATATAATTCCCTCAAAAAACCACTTATAGGGTAACTTTATAGTATATGCTTTATAATGCCTCAAGTGCTATTACTAATCATGATATTTATACTTTGAAATCTTTAAGTGATCGTGCCATTTCCTCTGGTAATACAAGGCATTTTGGTAAAGAATCCAATTCAGATTTCGTCTCAAACAACCATTCCAATAATTCCTAATAATCAATCATAAAGAATGAAAGCATTAATTAAGGCACACGACTAGCTCTTACTGTTTGTTTTCTCTCAAACTTCATCTCCACTAGTCTGTTCTCAATGCGCTTGGGAAGGTTCTCCCAGTGGGTCTTGATGTTCTGCAGTCTCAGCTGAATCTCACGAGCTTCGTCTGGTGATCTAGCGGCAGCTAACAACTGATCACTGTTGGATAGTACATTGTCTTTCTTTTGAGACTGTACGCTAATGGAAGACTTGATTGACTGAATTAAAAGAGAGAGAAAGAAAGTGAAAGAAAATGCACATGTACATGTACTATCAATTCAGACTTCAAGAGTAGACAATTACTCTTGTTACTGTGTAATTATTATCAAGTTAGCATTGTGTGAAAAATAAATTAAAAAGTCCAAAACATAATTTAAAGCCATTCTCAATAAATTCAATTACAAGTAGAAGCCAGGGGCTATACATGCATGTACATGTATTAAGGATAATAGGTGTATAAACTTATAGGAGATCCCTCAAATAGACTCATAATTATGTCCAAATTAAAGACATAGAAATGAAGCATGGGATTCTCCCAAGGAATAGATACATGTACGTGTAGATTGTAGTTGATTTACCTGGAGCTGTTGTATCAGATCAGAGTAATGTATCCTGTCTCCTTCTTGAAGTACGTCTTCATCAGTTGAACTCAATCTATACTCAAACAGCCTGATGCCTTTTATCCATTCTAAGCTATTGTCCTCAGTCAGCTCTGATCCACTCTCTCCCTCTCCTCCTCCTCCTAAGCTACTGCCAACATAGCTACCCTCTGGGTCGCTATGGTCATCTTTACTTAGCTCCGTTTCGCTAAAAACTGGTGGATACTTTTTACCAGCGAGTGAGGGAAAGGCCATCTGCTTGTCTTCAGGTGTGTCGGGAGTGAACACTTCATCAGTTAGAGGATCAGGGCTTTCCTCTTCCTCCATTCTATGCTTCCTCTTTCCTCTATGTCCTGGTATGTGTATCACTCCTGTTGAGAGTCCTCTTAGTGATAATGGTGAGTGTATTTCATTAGGTGATCCCAGTAGAGGGTGTGATGAGAGTGCTGGTAGTGATTGTGTGTGTGCTAGTGGTGCTGGTGGTGAGTGTAGCGGTGACTGTGGGGAGAAGTTGAGTGATATTGGAGAGTCTTTTAGCGACAACGGAGAGAGTTCTGACGAAGCTTCTAAGCTTTTGCGTCCTCCTTGGGTTTTCTTGATTGCCGGTTTTTGATCCGGTGAGAGTTCAAATGAATCAAGTTCATCGTTTCCTCCTTCCCCATCATCAATCATCATCTCATCATCTTCAAAATCAAGGATAGGAGGAGGGAGACCAGGGGAATCATAATCAACCTCATCATCTTCAGAGAGAGAAAGAAAGAAAGAAAGAATGAAAGGAATATAAGTTGATTAAAGATCATAAATTGTTTTTGCCATTGCTCATTAGAAACAATGCAATGAAAGTGGTCATAAGTGAATGTACATTGTGTACCTTTAACATTACTTCTATAGTAGTACTTGTACTGTACATGTACATGTTACTTACTCTCTAGTGATACATCCATATCATCCTCCTCCTCCTCCTCTTCTGGTGACGTATTATCAGCTACTAATAGTTCAGGATGATCCTCATCTTCTTCAGTGTAATACATACTGCTCTGTATAATGTACAGAGGATGCATAGATACATATGTGCACATTATAACAATGTAAAAATGAATAATATCAGTCATTATGTGTACATGTACATGTATATGTACACTCATAATGTCAAATTAATACTCAGTACTACAATCACAGTAATGTACATGTATATGTATGCATTTCAAATTTATTTTTCATTCATAAATTACCTCGCGTGTCAATGATCCCTGATTATCAAACATTCTCAGTGGTTCCATCCACACCCAGTGCTCCACGTGATTCAGCCACGCCTCCACTTCCTCTAAGTCTTGCATAAACCTATCATTACACCTACAGTAGAAAAATGGACATGATTAGGTATTAAAATTGGTGCATTGTAAAGTTCACTAATACCGTAAATCAGGAAAATTATGTGATAGAAAATTTTTGTGCTTAAAAATGTGTTGTACTTTAACTTTTACTAAATAAGATTGTGTCATGTATCAATGACTGTGGCATGTAATTATAAGGTTTTTGCAAAATTCTAATCTGGTAAAATTAAAATCACAATAGAAATTCCTGATGAATGGTAGTTAATAATGATGACAATCTCACTGTGATATGGACCGTGAGAGTGAGTTAACTGCAGTCTCTAATTGACTGATGAGCTCCTGACATTCCAATAAGAAGAGACCGGCTTTCTCTTTGATGTCAGTAATGCTTCTATAGCAACTATCAATGGAGTCATCATCTTCCTCTAATAATATAAAACAAGAAATCATATTACTTCCAATAATAGGTTCTATTGAGTTACAGGAAACAACAATAATATAAGAATAATAATAACATGTGGCTATAATAAAAATGACACTTGGCAACGTTCATTGTGCAAAAGACACTATGAGTGTTTGTGTAAACACAACAGTTAGGGAAATCTTAAGTATCTACATGTACATGTACAGTACATCATGTAGCAATAAACTAACAATACTCATGTACATGTACATGTACATGTACATTGTATCTTAATTACCATCTTCATACTCATCTTCCATTAGCACAGGCATCTCTTCCATTTCTCCATCCTCTCTTCTCATGTTATAAGTTGCTGGTACTAATAATGTCATGTTTACTGACTGGACTCCCTCTAGCGTTTTCATTTGATTATTTATTCCTAACAGCACCTCCTGCAGCAAATGATCAATGACAATAAATTGCATTTCACAAAGGATCAGATCTATGATAGTGATATTGGCAAATACCTTGAAAGGGCTGATTAGAATTGACTCAAACATAACATAAACAAATATTGGAGGTGTACATTTTGAGGGCCAATTAACACCAGTGATCATTTTAAAGACAATCATAAGTCAATGCTCCCAATTAATTTATATTGTAGTGTTTAAATATTTTTAAAACAGTCCAAATAATAATAATAATGATAATACCTTCATTGATCCACAGGTGTTTCTGACAGCATCAGTTTCCTCTCCTGGTGATATTCCTGATGCTACTTCTAACAGGCTCTTCCCCTGAGACACGAGGAGCTTACCAAACGTCATGGAACTGTTCTGTAGGTCAGAAATCTGCTGCAGCAGGGATTTGTAGCGCACGAGCAAGACTGGAACAATATCCTTCCATTTATCAGTCAATGCCTTTCCTTTCTCATCCTCGGTCAACTGCTGCAACCAGTTCTCTTGCTGTAATAGGAATGTATTAAGGGAGCTCTATTGAAAATAAAAAAAGAATAAACATGTACGTCAGTTAAGGTACTCTCCTCTGTAGCTTGTACATTATGCAGTCTTGAAGTTACATATTAAAATACATTGTATGTTGATCACAAACTACAATGTACATGTACATACATGCAGCAGGTCACACGTGAAGATAAAAGCATAAGATTCTATATCCTCTCCCTTGAGAGGAATGACAGTAGTAGAGTGACAGCTGCTATAATGTGTGGCATATAATGGCATTAAGGAAACTCTCCTTTAAAATTGATAATACAGTTACACTGTCCAGTTGTTGGCACACATTACATTAACTGGATGGGGACTACTTCAGAGCTGGTCATATGATATCAAAAAAATTCCTTTTGATCAAAAAATGTATATTTAGTGAAAGTGTTTAGTGAAGGCGAGAAACAATAGATAGGCATAACTTTCCAAAGATGGCTATGCTAAAGAACACCAACTAGTATAACAAAATAATTATAATAACCCCCTTCCTTCAAATTTAAAATTCTGATAAGTATTGAGTAGAAAATAAAAAAAACATCCTAAACATTATACATAAAATAATTGCAATCAATGAACATACATGTAGGCTAAGTAGGTTAAGTTTATATTATGCTGTTCATTCATGCATTTCATAAAACAATAATCATAATGTCACTACATTACATTTCATAGTACATGTAGATAACAATATTCATAATACTTGTATAATATAACACTATGAATATTGAGTTTAAACTGTGAGAAAAAGAGAATAGATATTAGATGAAGAGAGAGAGAGAAAGTGAAAAAGAGTGTAGATCATATCATACCTGTAATGTATTGTATAATGCTAGTAGTGTCTTCCAATCAGTTTGAGTGTCTATTGACTCATTCTCTGCCAGCCACTTCTCCTGATCATCCAACCAAAACTCCAACTCCTAGAACACACAACAAATAATGTATTATAATGGCCCTAAAGCTTAAAATAAACAACACACACAATTTACTGTCATATCAAAGGACCTGTTAATTATTAATACCACAAATACTTGTATCTGTACGCTACACTTACCTCTAGCCAATTATCTGGAGTCTGTGTACAAGGAGGCGACTCTCCTTCCATCAGAAACTACTTACTATTTGTCTAGAACCTCTTCCTCACACGAGGTTGCTCAGCCACTCCTTTTGCTAAGGAGCCACGCCTTTTTGGTAGGAGCCACACCTTCTGGCCAAAGAAAGAGCTAAAGAACTGTTTTGACATTGTTTTGCTGAATATAGATCTAGCTCTGTAGTTTTATTTCTTTGTTATTATTGTGATTTTTGGTTGAACTTATTGCAACAATCAATGCAGAATAGGCTAATTACACTATTGAAGTTAATTTAACAGGCGTGGCCTTGCTTTTGGCTCCTCCTCCTTCTTTTGATAACCACGTGTAAGTGTAAATGGCAACTGAAAATGGAGATTCCCTTGTAGGACGCAAGGAGGAGGAGGTCGTGGGGAAGGTCCAGAAGCTCTCGACTAGTGAAGGATCTGGTCCAGCAAATATAGACCCAGAGCTAGCAACCAAGGCTGATGAATGGAAAGAAATAGCCAACATTAAGTTTAAAGGTGCTTTGTATGTATGTAGGAGTGGCTTAAATAAGTACGTACGGCCAGGGTGTTTTGGGATTGAAGTTTTTATAGAATAACTAACATGTGATGTGATGTATAGTTACATTACAATGACGATGGGAGTTTGCCACAGCCTTACTATTATTAAATTTCTTTTAAGAATAACATGTATACTTATTATGTTACAGAGAAACATTTTGCTGAGGCCATCGATTGCTATACAAAGGCTATTGAGATAAATCCATCAGTGGCTGTGTATTATGGGAACAGAAGCTTTGCTCACTTGAAATTAGAGAATTATGGATTTGCACTTAATGATGCCAGCAAAGCATTAGAACTGGACAAGACTTACATTAAAGTATGCATTTGCACTATAGCTATTGTAAAATGTGGAGTGCTAACTGTAATTTTAGTAGTTTAATGTAATGTATTTACATGTACATTTACAGTACCACATGTTTTAAATTATAGTCAAAAATTCATTTTTTGTTATTGATTCAGATTCATGATACTTAAAGCACTGAAATATATTTAAGTATACATAATTTGTATTCATTATTAATAAATCCTTATTATGATCTTCATCATATGTATGCATATATAGGGATATTACAGAAGAGCCAGTGCTAATATGGCACTGGGTAAATTCAAGCTGGCACTGAGAGACTTTGAATCAGTAAAGAAGAGTCGACCAAAAGATCGTGATGCACAGGTACATGTTTGATACAATCTGTCTTTTACCTCTCATCTTCTTATTTTCCTGTTTTTTCACTGTTCTCCTCTACTTGTATTTCTCTTCTCTCTGTCTCTGTCTCTGTCTCTCTCTCTGTCTCTGTCTCTCTCTCTGTCTCTCTCTCTCTCTCTCTCTCTCTCTCTCTCTTTCTCTCCCCTCCTCTCTCTCTTTCTTGTTATTATTAGATAAAGTATACAGAGTGTGCAAAGATTGTTCATCAGCAAGGGTTTGCTCGAGCTATTGCTGTTGAGAGTGAAAAGCCTGTCTCCTTAACTCTTGATCTCTCAACAATGTGTACGTGAAATGATAACATTTTTACCAAAAATGCATAACAAAATTCATGCGTGACCCCATTACAATAACTGTTAAAGCCACAAAATTTAGGATTCGGAAGTACATTAAGATAATTATACTTTCTGCTTATGCAGAGTGGATTGTCAAGTTGCTAAAAAAAATTAGGCCAAATTACCTTGTACTTTAGTAATAGATATTTTGTCAAAAAGGGCTTGGAGCAAATTCTTCCTTTTTTACATTTTTTAATGCATATACATGTTTTTATGTTGCATAGAAAGTTTGAGCTGATTCCGATCAAATTTAGATTTTTATGAATTTTTGAAGTTGTTCAGAAATTGAGCCAATGTCCCTGTACTATAGTACAGCATTATAGGCCAAATTTTACCAAAATTGAAAACAAGAGAATTTTTCATTAAAAAATTTTTTCTGATGTATATGCATGTTTTTATGTTGCGTAGAAAGTTTGAGCTGATTTTGATCAAATTTGGATTTTTTATGAGTTTTTAAAGTTACCAACGCTCATGAAGCTCATGCTGTTTAGCTCACTTAGCATGCTTTGTGAGAAACCCTGATTATACTTACCTAATCCTGAGATTTTGCAAGATAATAATTTTTTCATCATAATTATATAGCTGTAGACCATAGTTATGATGGGCCTAAACTTGAGAGTGATATAACGATTGATTTCATGAAGGATCTCTTAGTGTGGTTTAAGAACCAGAAGCTACTTCATACAAAGTATGCTTATAAAATAATCCTCATGGCCAAGGACGTGTTTTCAGCTTGTCCCTCTCTTGTTGATGTTACAATACCCGACGTAAGTTACACACTTTTATTGTGCTTCTGCTTCTTACGAATTTTGTTTTTTTTCTTTACTAGAAAAATAAGTTTACAATTTGTGGTGACATACATGGACAGTATTATGATCTTTATAATATATTTGAACTCAATGGCATACCTTCAATGGAGAATCCTTATGTATCATAATAATGATAATAATAAATAATTTAGTGATGTAGTGTTATAGAATTTCCAAGTACTGTACATGTACATGTACAATTAATATTAAGTTACTACCTTAACTCGTGTGTGTGTGTGATTGTATTTTTAGCTTTTTAATGGAGATTTTGTTGATCGTGGATCCTTCTCTGTGGAGGTTATTTTAACTCTCTTTGGTTTTAAGGTTTTATATCCTAATCACTTTTACATGTCCCGTGGTAAGAAGTTTGAAATATACTGTATGTAAACCATATGTGTACATAATATATAAACATAATGAATATCAATTTGGTATTGAGATGTCAATTAAGTGTTGTATTTTCTATCTTGCTACTTTTTGTTTGGTACATGTAAACCATTTAATCTTTCTAGGCAATCATGAGTCAATAACAATGAATCAAATGTATGGTTTTGAAGGAGAAGTAAAGAAAAAGTCAGTAAATGCAATTGTAAATGAATGAATAGAGTCTCTCTCTCTGCTAATAGATACAATGGTAAAATGGCTGATTTATTCACTGAAGTCTTTAACTGGTTACCATTAGCACATGTCATTGACAATAAAGTCTTGGTTAGCTTATATTTCTTTCTATTTCAACCTTTTATTCACTACCACACAGGTTATGCATGGAGGCCTGTTCAGTACTGATGATGTCACGTTAGATGACTTGAGAAAAATAGAT